CAGACCCTGAGCACCTCTCCCTGGTACATTCTATACACTGTTCAAAAAACTGCTACAAAGTTCTCAAGGTAATATCCAAACTCCTTGGTAGGTGAAGCCACAAGACTGCCTTTCCAACGGCATCTTTCTATCACTAGCCTTGCTTTTTCTGAGGTGTTTCCTTGACACCAAAAATTCTCCAGCTCTCTGGAGACAACTGCGTGTCCAACAATTCTGTTCAACTCTGACACTGTTGTAGGGTAAGGAAAAAGAATCAGGCTTTTCTGCCCTCCCACCGTTCGGATAGATGAGGAAACCCTGTGGTCCTGAATGCATGCCTGATGGCGGGCACCTGAAGTGGGTACACCTGGGCTGAGAGACTGAGTTTATAAGGGCGGCGTCATGGGGACACCAGTAGAAGCCAAGAACGAGCAGAAGCCAAGAGAAGCAGAGAGAACTCCAGAGAGAGCCCAGATGGAGTGAGGATCTGCTGGGGGCTGGGAGGCCTGCCAGCCTCCCGGCCCCCCAGCACCCCTGCCTGCCATGTGCCTGGTAAATCTAAATAAAAGACCTGCAAAAGCCACTGAGGACTCTGACTCCTCCTTTACCCGGTCTGCTGGGTCAGAAAACCTGCACTGTGGCCCATCCTGCCCCTACAACTCTGTACCTAGAGTGTCAGATCCCAAAAGTTGAAGGGCTCGTTCCCACAAGACTGTCTTCCCTTCAGACACTAGTCACAACGCCATTTCTACAATGAGCCACAGATCCTAGCTACGGGGACTTCTCAATGAGCAGCTATAAATCAGAGGCTTCACAATCCCCTCCTCAGGGGCAATAATTTGCTAGAATGGTTCAGAGAATGCAGGAAAATATCTTACTCACACGCATGCATTTTTCATAACGGCTACAATTCAGGCCCAGCTAGATGGACAAGAAGCTTTGGGCCAGGTATGGAATGAAGTGTTCCTGCTTTCCGAGGGAACTGGATGTGCCCCTAACCCAGTCGCTCTCAGAATCTTTTTTTTTTTTTCTTTTTTTAATTTTTTTTTCTTTTATAGAGGCATGTTTTATTTATTTATTTGTTTGTTCGTTTGTTTTGTTTGTACATGCACTGGGTACAGTCAGAAGCGCGGGAGGGTGAGAGAATTCACCAGAGCCAGAGCAGGGAGCAGAGCAGGCAGAAGGACCGAAGTACACTGCTGAGGGGAGCAGCGGGCGGCAGGAGAGGTCTGCGCCCCATGTGGGACCCTCCTCCGGTGGCCGGGGAGCAGCCGGGGATCGAACCGGCGCTGCAGAGGCAGCGGGCAGCCTCGCAACCCAGCGCTCAACCGCTGCGCCACCGGGGAGGCCCTCTTTTTTTTTTTTTTTTAAAGATTTTATTTATTTATTATTTATACAAGCACTGGGTACAGTCAGAAGCGTGGGAGGGTGAGAGAATTCACCAGAGCCAGAGCAGGGAGCAGAGCAGGCAGAAGGACTGAAGTACACTGCTGAGGGGAGCAGCCGGCAGCAGGAGAGGTCTGCGCGCCATGTGGGACCCTCACCCGGTGACCAGGATCGAACCGGCGCTGCAGAGGCTGCGGGCAGCTTCGCAACCCAGCGCTCAACCACTGCGCCACTGGGGAGACCCTAAATAAATAAATCTTTTAAAAAAAAATGCAGGGAGGCCACAGAGGCTATTAATGTGAGACTTGAGCACACCCATCTGCAGAGAGACAGCACAAATGTCACCGCATTGACAGAACTCGGCAGTTTAGGCATGGCATATATGACCACCCACTTACGGGGGTCTGTGGGCACAGGCTGTTTCCCTCACACAGACCACTCCCGAATGAGTCTTATACTCGATGTTGGCCAGTGAACCAGAAAGCCACATCCGACTCAAGTCAAGCCAAATAACCAGAAGTGTTTTTTTTTTTAAATCAGCCAAGTCACCTTTATCGCTAACTTCATTCACTAAGTCAAAGTAGGTTGTTTATGATAGTAAGTGAACAGTGTGAGCCAAAAGGCTGGGTCAGGGGCTATGCCAGGGCTCAGCAGACAGGATGTCTTGGTGCCTGAGGACAGAGTGTTAGAAATGACAAGTGTAAAGAGTGTTAGAAACGGCTGGGGCTTTGGTTTCATTTGGTCCACGCCCAGCCCCACACTGCTCAGTCTCCTAGAAGCCAAAATCCAGTGCCCCGTGGGATGTGGGATTTGTCTTCTGCAACTGCTGAGCATTCAGCATCTCCAGGGGCTGGGGAGACTATCCTCGGCAACAGGGACCGCTGCTTGCCAGGAAATAACAAAACCGTTTGTTCTATCATTGTGTGTGTCCTCTGACCTCCAGACCTGTATTACTCAGGTCTGTGGGTGGGCCTGTGTGTATGTGATTAAAATTCACATACCACAAAATCTGCTCACTTAAAGTGTACACTGCAGGGATTTTTAGTATGCAGCAGAGCTGTACGCACACCACAATTGTAGAACATTTTCATTATGCCAAGAAGAAACCCTAGACCCATCAGCACTCACTCCCTATGTCCCCCGCAATACTGCCCTTCCCCTGGTCGAGGCAACACTGGTCTTTTGACCCTAGATTGGCTCATTCTGGACAGCACATGGGGTTGGTGACTGGCTTCTTTCATTTAGTATAATGTCGGCAGGGTCCACCCGGGTTGTGACCTGCATCGGTGCTTTCTTTTATTTCTGAGTAAAATTCGATTGACTGAACACACACCACATTTTGCTTCTTCACTTATCGGTTGCCAGACACTTGCACTGACAGCAGGACATCAGGTACATGGCACAAGTGACAGCCGAAGCCCCAGACAACGGCCTGTCGTAGGGAGTCTGGGCAGATGGGAGTTGTGTGCACTGGCCTAATTCTCCACCTTTTGGCAATTTTGGATCACAATGCTGGGAGCAATTACGTACTAGTTTAGGAATGGACATACCGATTAGCTGGGTTTGGAGGGCGTCTGATCCCTGTGATATAGTTAGACATATTTTATGTTTACATAGTTTTCAAGCATCAAGGGGCAGAACGTTCATCAGACCGAACAGATCAAAGCCTCTGATGAAATCAACACCAGCTCCTGACCGGCCTTCCAGGTCCTGGACAGCGATGCCGGACTTTTCACGGGAGACTTCAAGGCAGACTGACTTGGGGCTGAAGCGCTGAACTGTCACCTACTTCTGTACAAAGTTTGCACTACTCTCACATAAATTCCTTAAGTCTCTGAGCCTCTATCTGCTCATCTGCAAGCTGGTGATAATGACACACATCCTACCACAGGTGCCTCTTGTGATGATCGCAGAGATAGCGTCTAAGGTTTCGAGCAGAATGCCTGGGTCTGTCACTCTGACTGTGACACCTTTATGAGCTGGTCAAGGTGAATGCATTCTGACCTCCCCAAACAACCCAGCTTTTTCCATGTCTGCACTTTTGCTTCTATTCTTCCACCTTAAATTCCCTCCCTAACAAAACTCCTGATTCTCATGAAGGGCCATCCCACCGCTGGGGCTGTTTCAAGCTCCATCTGAGTCACCCAGCCCGTCTCATAATGACTGTCATAGATCCATTTTCTTTCTGCTTGGGGTCTCCTGAAAGTTCTTTTTCTGAGGGCACTAAATGACACCACTGGGGAGCAATGGTTTGTGCTTGGGTCTTATCTGCCATAGCACCTGGCAAAACCCCACGACACCAGCAGGACTGCTCACACTCCTCCTATCACTTCTTCCCGGGGCCCAGCGCCGGCAGCTGTGCGCCTTCTCTTGCAAGCATTTACACAGCCCAATGGGATGGTGAGCAAGCTGGGCATTTAAAAAAATGCCCCTCATAAAGCTTATGACTCAATGGGTGAAACCACGGTCACCCTAGGGCCATGGAGCATCACGACACCGAGTTCAGGTGGGGCACAGAAGGGGCTCAGAGGACAGGGCAGCCCTTTCCTGGACTCAGGGTCTAGGAAGCTTCCTTAGAGGAGTTAATGCCAATCTTGGGAGAGGAAGATGGGACGGCTAGGTGGGCACAGTGAGAGGATGAAGAAGCATGAAGAAAGGAAAAGTAAGACACAGCAGGGCACCAAGACGGAGATGGGGAAATGAAAGTCGGGGAGAAACAACAGGCAGGGACAAAGACCAGCTTGCTAGCTAAAGCGGGAAGATGCGGGACTTTGTTTTCAGATCCCAGAGCACCAAGATATCACTTCTTGACTGCAAGATAGAAGTTGGCAAAGAAGACAGAAAGGCTGACAAAATGCAGGAGGAAGAAGTATGAGAACAGGATATTGGCTTGGAGGAAAAAGGTGTGTGGGGGGGATTCACAGCTTAGACTTCCTCCTAGACACCGCTGGGCAGGAAGTGAGAGTGGAGGCGAGAGATAAGTCTGACAGGAAGCTGAAGGAACAAAGGAGTTACACCTGATAGCAGCTAGGAGGGTGAGTCCTCAGCCCAGAGGGTGGGGGAGGGTAAGGCAGCTTAAGGTGGTGAAGGTTAGAAAGGCCAGTTGGGGAAAGGTGGGCACCCCAAGGACTGTTGGGCCTGTCAAAGAATAAAGGGCTTGACTGGGAAGACCTGAGGATCATACAGACCATGGGGGACACGACTAGGCACAGGGCTGTATGAGGTGGGCATAAAGGGAGCAGAGTTAGGCATGGATAAGGAAAAGTAAACTCCCTGAGATTCGCCCCCTCATCTGGACCAGAATTCTTCAGGATAAAGAGGAAGTGCCCCTCAAAATCAGAATGCTAAGGGACTATGATGTTTCTTAGAGGAAGCAGGAAGCCACCATTCATGAAAGGGCGTTGTCAGACAGAGTATGGGCCAGATGGGGGTACCTCCAAGCTGGTCATCAAATCCCTGAATATCTGTCCCCGCCTGACTCTTGCGGAATGGACAAACTATCAGTACAGCGAGCCTTCCCTTGCCCTCCCCAAGCTGTCACCCAGCCTTTCATTAACAGCTTTTTATTCTTTCTCACACACTGAAAAACAGCTGTTTGAGCTCTGAACGGAAACACTTCCCGTGAAGAAACATACCTTAGTCCATCCAGAAAACTGGATAAAGGTGTCCTGGGGCAAGTCTGGGATGTCACTGGGGATGGAGAAATTCCCACTATAGAAGGCCGGGAGTGTGTAGTTCGCTGAGCCTCGGGCACGCGCTTCATCACGGGGGCCGCTGTGACGGCCACCCCAGCCCCCAAGGTGGCTGCGCACGGCATCCTCTGTGTTCAGCGGAAAGATGGTCCAGTTTGTGAGGATAGTGGAGTTGAGCGTGAGGTTAGAAACCAGACCCTGTGAAAGAGAAACAGCAGTGAACGGGGGTGGGAAGGAAAAGGTTTCCAGTGCCTCTGAGTTCCAATCCTGAATTTCTGGAAAAGCAAAATGGGATACGAAACCCCAACAGTCAATGAGACTCAACCTGTGTGTTAATGGAACCCAGGTCTGACTTGAGGTGGAGGGACATCCCCTGGGAAAAGGTACATTTCCCAAACTACACTTTTCTCTCTTTGGACGCCAGGATAGTCTCATGGAAGCCCCAGAGTTCTGCTCTTCAGACAGGGAGACTGTGACCTCCAAGTCCCTAACCCAGTCTGTGGTTCAGAGCCACTGCTAGAATGGACGAAAAGATGGTGGACTCTGAGGATCCGGAAAATGAATGGAGTGGAGGAAGCAGAAGAACATCCATTCTGCTGAAGTAAGGGACGGAGGAGGAGGAGGATGCAGACTCTGCTGTGGCCTTTAAGTGAAATTAAGTCTTGACCTTGGGCAACTTGGCAACACACACACATGCATGATCATACCTGAGTCCATGCCTATCAGAGGACTAAATGAGATGAAATAAATGACAATACTTTGAGCTCTGTAAAAGGACAGAAAGGGCAGAGCCTCCCTTGGTGGTGCAGTGGTTGAGCGCTGGGCTGCGAAGCTGCCCGCAGGCTTTGCAGCGCCGGTTCGATCCCCGGCCCCTGGTGAGGGTCCCACATGGCGCGACGGACCTCTCCTGTCTTGCCGGCTGCTCCCCTCAGCAGTGTATTTCATCAGCCTGCCTGTTCTGTTCCCTGTCTGGCTCTGGTGAATTCTCTCACCCTCCTGAGATTCTGACTGTACCCAGTGCCTGTATAAATAAATAAATAAATCTTAAAAAAAAAAAAAAAAAAACGGACAGAAAGGGCAGTGATAAAGAAGGGGGATCCTCAGACTTGTATTAAGCAGCTTTGTCTAGCGGGTTTCATAGCATCGACGCTTATGTTTCTGGCTCATCAACTTTCCTTTCCCAGTCTTTTATTTGGGGAAAGTATCCCTCCACTATGGGGTCCCAAGTTGCCCCAGGACACCTCTCAATACCAAGCTTCCATTGCTCACTTAGTAATTCAATGAACATTAACCAGGCAACTATGCCAGGCTCTCTGCTGGGTCCTGAGACTAGATGGTGAGTTCCTGTCCCTGCACACACAGGTCAGCCTGGCCTGTGAGAGCCAGGCAGGGAGGTCACTGATTTTAGCACAAGGCCATGGACACTAGCCCTGGAGGTAAAGAGGACCCCTGTAGAGCATCCCCTAAGTGTGTAATTGTCTTACCTTCAAGTTGCCACCAATAGGGCGAGGAAATAGTCCAGACACCATCCTGTCCTCCACCCGCTGGTACCACAACTCCCTCTGCCCATCTTCTGTCCTTGAGCAAATGGGGAGCTACCCACAAGGAACCTTTATCTCAATACTGTTGTACCTCATGGAGTATCTTACCCCGGGTATAAGCTTAACAAGTGTCTGCTAAATAATACTCTTTAAAATATGTGGTAGAGGGCCTCCCTGGTGGCGCAGGTGGTTGAGTGACACACTGTGAAGCTGTCCGCAGCCTCTGCAGCGCGGGTTTGATCCCAGCAGGCCAGCAAGAATCCCACATGGCGCAGCAGACCTCTCCTGTCTTGCCCGCTGCTCCCCTCAGCAGTGTATTTCAGTCAGTCTGCCTGTTCTGTTCCCCGCTCTGTCTCTGGTGAATCCTTTCACCCTCCCACGCATCTGGCCTGTACCCTGGTTCTTGTATAAATAAATCTTAAAAATATATAAAAATATGCAGTAGAAAAACATATTTGAACTAACCACCTGGGTAACCAACAGAGGGAAGAGGCAGTGCCCCAAGGGAAAAGACTCTTTACAATTCAAGAGTTTGTCATGGATCTTCCCCACCCAGGAAATAGCAGACTGAATGCTAAGTTATCTTGGTTGGCAAGGGAGTGCCCTCTGAGAGAGTTTGGTGGGTTTTGCAAGCAAAGGAAAAGCAAGGTAAAGTGGCTTCCTCCTTCTGCTTCTTCCTACAGGCTGACTGAACTCAAATGCAAGGGCAATATGTTCTGTGTGCAATGCTCAGCATCGCACCAGCTGCAGAGAAAAACAGGTCTTCAAAATAACTCAGCTTCTACAGTCAGGGTAAACAAATCACGGTAGGTTCACTCATCCAATGCAGCAAAGTACTCGGGCTTTTAAAAATGCTTCTATGTTATCCAGCTGCAGGGAAGGAATGCAGGCAGGAGGGTTTTAAATAGATCTGTAGAAACTTCTTCAGGCAGCTAAGGCAGTCCTGTGAACCCTTCAACCTCACTCCTCACGGTTAGTGTGGCTGATCCTACCTTAAAATCACTGATGTTATTGCCATAGTTCACCCGTCCCATGTTCTCCACCAGAAGGTCAAGAGTGGCTCCAGCTTTCCCAGTTATGTTCAGCGTGAGTACATAATTTCGCTGGAGGATTCCCTGGGGGACCTGTGGATTCAATGCCAAAGAAAATGAATGAGGACAAGGAGATGAGTAAAAAGGCTGATGCTCAGTTAATCCAGCACCTGTTTTCCTGCCGGAAGTGTCACCTGTCACCAGACAGGTGGTCCAGTTCCTCCCCTCACTGCTTCCTAGTGGGAAAGTCACCAACTCTGACCAAGGAAAGGCACAGGCTGGTTGCCGTTGCTCCACAGTGTTTTGCTGTGCATCTACTTTTAATGGAAAGAGAATAAAGGGAAAAATTCCAGGGGAGGGGTCTCATTATTGGAACTGTTTCATCTTCTCACAGCAGAAAATATAGTTGTAAAAAAAAAGTTTTTAAAGAACGTGGAGAGGTGAAAGAAAATCAGATAAACAAGATAAAAATCAATGAGTTAGGTGGAGTACTCTTGCCTCAAAATACCTGATATGGTGCCTTAACCACGAAAATTATGTAATAGGATGAGGGAAAACAACAGATATTTTAGCAACAACATATTCCTAATTTTTGAAAAGGTTAGATTTGAAAAACCGATAACGTTTACACAAGACCACAATTTCACTAAGATAACTTCTAAATCGGAAGCCTAGAAACAACCACCATCAGTATTCACATAATGTCTTAGAAACGTGCTCCTGCTAAAATGAACGCCACTGATGACCACAGAAGGGAAATATTTTCACTAAAAAATTTCTGAACAGGGGCCTCCCTGATGGCGCAGGCGGTTAAGCGCTGCACCGTGAAACTGTCCACAGCCTCTGCAGCGTGAGTTTGATCCCGGCTGGCCGGCGAGAATTCCACATGGTGTGGCAGACCTCTCCTGTCGTGCCCGCTGCTCCCCTCAGCAGTGTATTTCATCAGTCTGCCTGTTCTGTTCCCTGCTCTGTCTCTGGTGAATTCTCTCACCCTCCCGGGCATCTGGCCTGTACCCCAGTTCTTATATAAATAAATAAATCTTAAAAAAAATATTTTTTTCTGAACAAATTCTCTTGGCTAGGAAAGCGTTCTTTAATTATTTCAGTGAGGGGAAGGGAATCCTAAAACCTAGCTGTCTTTTGTTCTACAAGAAAGTTCTTTGTGTATTTTAGCTATAATAATACACCATCCTTCAGGATGTAATTTCTCACAAAGGATGTAGGCCCAACATGATGGGAATCACCTCTCTGGCATGTACAAAACGAACTCTGTTCTCAAGGAGCAAAGACGATACGGCTGACACGCTGAGGTCAGTCAGAGGGGATGGCGAGGTTGTGGGGACACCAGGTAGCCTTTCAGAGAACTTGGGGTCTCTGGAGCACAACCCTGTGGTTGAGAGGGAGAGGATTGGATTCCCTGTAGTTCTTGGCAGATGGAACCTGGGTGAGGCCACACAGCCTAGTGAGGTGTGGGTGGAGTTTGAGGTTGGTAAGGTAGGCACAGAGTCCACCACCTAACCCAGGGCAGACACCGACCCCACCCCTGAACTCCTACCCCCACCTCGGGCAGACATATACAGTTCAGACGGTCTTACCCCATCCACGGAGACGTAGGCCCGATCATGGACACCATTGAAAGGTGAAGAGAGGGGTGTTGGTTGGCTGCAGTCTAGAGGAAGCATTGTTCGGTACAGGACGAACCCATAATACTGGATAGAAAGGGATATAAGAAAAATGCGTCACTCTTGCTGTTCATTTTAAGAGAACTTGGGTTCCATCTGTGTGAAAATGATGTTTCCAAAATCCTTAGGAATGAGACGCTTTCCCTGTAACCCACAATTCTGTGTTAATTCCAAACACCAAGAAATCAACAACAACAAAACACTGGACAAACAAAAACCAACAATGCCAAGGTGAAACTCCATTTAGTAAAACATTCTCCGGGTTTTTGGGTTAAATCTGCTCTGACAGACAAAACAAGAGTTAATCAGAAACTGTGAAGAGGAGGAGCAGGGGAAACAGAGAGTGAGAGACAGGGGTGAAACCTGTTGCTAAGTTAGAAAATAATTCTAGATGCTGGTACCCATGGTTTGAAAGGGACCACACAGTCTCGGAACAACAGCACAGCCGTAGGTAGTGCCTTTCTGCAGTGGACTAGTTAGCAAGGGCGAGCTGGACGAATCCTCGAGACTCCAGCATGGGAGAGAGAAAAAGTTACCCACTTCTAGGATCTCAAAAGAAAGGACATGCACCTCAGGCAAGTGGAGAGGTGATTAGAGGAGCTGAAAAGAACATTAATCCTCAGGTTGCAGGAAAGGTCTGGACTCAAGAAATGCCAGGAATCCTGCCTCCCAGATCTTCCTCTCTCTCTCCCTCTTTTTTTTTTTTTAAAAAGATTTTATTTATTTACTTATGCGTACAAGAGCTGGGTGCAGGTCAGAGGTGCGGGGGCGTGAGGGGATTCACTAGAGACAGAGTGGGGAGTGGAACAGGTGGATCTACTGAAATACACTGCTGAGGGGAGCAGCAGGCGAGACAGGAGAGGTCTGCTGTGCCATGTGGGTAGCTCCCTGGCCAGGGATAGAACTCCTGCTGCAGTGGCTGCAGACAGCCTCATAGTGCTGAGACTTAACCCCTTGCGCCACCTGGGAGACCCTGTTTTTGTTTTTTTTTAAACTAACTATAGAGCAAAGTCCTAACTCAGAAAGCAGAAGGGGTCTGAAAAAGGGTGACCCCAGGTATCTGTGCATGAGCCTGGAATCCATTTCCTGGGTGCTGGTGCTGTTCCAGCTCCCATGTCTGCTCTGCAGTGCTCGGCACGCTGGGAGGTGTAGAGGGCAGGTCGACGCCATAGTTGCAGACATGGACATACAGCCAGTGGATGCTAGAGCGAGAGAACAAACTCTACCCAAGGTTAGTGAAAATTATCCATTTTATTGATCACAAAGCCAGAGCTATTGGAAGAAAACTACAAATGTAAAAATAGTAACTGGGGGCCAATACACTGAACTAAGGTTAGATATGGTATTATTACATCACCTTATTGTTCAGACACCTTCCAAAGGTAATCTCCAAAGGAAAGCCAGAAGGAGAATCCAGGTAATTTTCCAGTTTAAAAAATGGGGCTGAGATATGCTGAGTGCTTAAAGTTAACATCACCACAAAAGGCTAAACTGAGCCTCCCTGGTGGCGCCAGGGGTTTAAGCACTGCACTATGAAACAATCTGCAGCCTCTGCAGCACGAGTTCGATCCCCAGCCGGCCAAGGAGCTACCCACATGGCACAGCAGACCTCTCCTATCTCGCCTGCTGCTCCCCTCCGCAGTGCATTTCAGTTAGTCTGCCTGTTCTGTTCCCCACTCTGTCTCTGGTGGATCCTCTTACCCCCCCATCTCTGGCTTGTACCCCAGCTCTTATATGCATAAATAAATAAAAATCTTAAAAAAAAAAAAAGGCTAACCTGACCTCCTGGGCACCCTGATACGATGCTTCAAGAAAGATGCATCACCTTTGTGGTGTGCAGGAAAAAATTTTTTATTGAATCTAATCAGTGAGCAGGAGTCTACAAAACACCTGCCCTAAACTCTTCAGGAGTGTCTGTGTTGGGGAGATGAGAGAGGAGAGACTTAGGAACTCTTTGAGAGGAAAGACTAACAGAGCACACTAACTAAAGGAACTGCTTAATTGTGGATTGTAAACTGGGTTGAAAATGTGAAACTGCAAAGAGCATGATGGGAATGACCAGGATACGTAAAGTAGAATGTATATTTGACAGTGGGACTGAGTCAATGTTAACTTTAAGTGTGATTATTATACTGTGGTCCCGTGGGACGTGTCTTCTTAACAGATATACACCATTTGGTGGGAGAACTTCAGGGACTACACCTAAGGGGAGAAGTCAAATATTGTCCAAAAAATAACAATGATATGAGGAAAAAAATAATAGTAATAAAAATTAAAAAAAATAGAACTATAGTATTTAGGGGTGAGGTGTTATGATTTTGACAATTAAAATGATTTTTTAAAAAGTAGCTACACACACACACACAGACACACACAGGCAGAGAAAAATAAAGCAAGTAAAACAGCGGAGTCTGGGTGAAAGCTGTACTGATGTTCTTTATGCTATTCTTGCAACTTCATCAGATTTGAAATTTTCCAAAGTAAGAAGTTGGGGAAAATTTTTAAAATAAAGATGGAGCAATGCCTAGAGATTAAACAAACACTCTCACACACACTCATTGTGCTGTGTTCTCTTTAAAAGTAGGAGAAACAATCTCTAAGAATCTAATCTATCATGAACACAGTCCCTGCACCTTTGAGCTAACTAAGGATAAGTAATTTTCTTTATTGAGTATTTAAAATAGCGATTTTCCTCTGATGCCATGAAATAAAGGTGACAGCGCAGAAGTGCCCTGAATTTATAGTGTGTAGAGAACTATGTTGAAGCAGAGTGAGCCTACGACCTGTTCGAGTGATAATAATGAATGTGGGGAAGTATAAGATCATCCCCCTGAAGTAAAGAGAGCCTGGTAATCCATGGTTCATTTACCCAGGATTTGATTCATCTGCTTACTATTTTGGCCCCTAGGTTTAGAACAGGCGCCGCAAGGCATTGCAGAAAGCTCATCTTTGCAAATACATGATGATGCATTACCTGCACAGGCCTACCTGTTTCACCTGTACAAACGTCAAGGGATAACGGCTTTGTATGGGTCCAGCGGGACTCAGAATGCCCAGAGCTTCCTCCACTGTCTTCAACTGAAAAGAAACAAAAGCAGCATTCACTCACTGAGAATTGGGGACAAAGGGACTTGCAAATTATCAAGGACCTTACTGGGTCAACCAAACCCCTAAATAAACCTAATTGTTCAAATTCCACTCAATGCTACTTTCCAGTGACCTCCAATCCTCTCCAACCATTCTCTAACTCTTAATGAAAAATAAATGCTGGTCCTCTTAAAAGGAATTTCAAACATGCCTATTTAGAAATACAACCTCCTGAGAGAAATACAAAAGGCCCTTACCTTTATAATTATATCCTACATAATTATATTCTACATAAATTTAATTCCATTAAGCATTGATTTGCTGTCTTAAAATTATATATATTTAGTTAACAACAAAAAGCTATTTCTGCTTGCACAGTTTTCCTTCCTGGTAAACAGAATGTGCTTCTGAGACTAAGCTAGATTTGTTTTAGCAACGTTGTATTAAATATGTGCGGTCATTTTCTGTTGCATGAAAATTAATATTGCCCAGCTTTAAAACTAACCAATCTTTTCCTTAAGTAGCAACAGCAGTCAACAAGTAGAAGGCACTCCTTTTGTAAGTGTGATTAAAATTTGGTTAATCATTCTACACATTCTCTGTAGAATGTAACACACGTACTGACACCAGTTGGAAAGTCACAGCATCAAAGCACTTCAGTGGAACAACTGTGCAATCGTGTTTGGCATTTTGTTTCAAGATCAAAATTATGATGCTATTTTAGACTATCATGATGCTATTTTAAACTATCAAGATTCTTAAGAAACACGTCACTCTTCACGTTGTTTTGTTTTTCTTGAGTTAACACTCGTAGGAGTTAGGGATAATAAGAGGGGAAAACCAGAAGACACAGGTGGTCAAAACAAATGGGCTTATGTCATTCATGACTATTTAGTGAAAACTTTTTCTTTTTCCCTAGAATAAAATGCCCTTATCTCCTTTTTTTTAAATGAGTAATTTCTAATCCCCCCCCCATGTCCCATTTATCATATAACTCACAGACCAAGAAAATTAGGACATAATTTTGTGATAGGGCTGTAGGACCTATCAGAATGCCCATGACTTGGGGGAAAAACTAAGAAAGGGTGAATTATGGAAAAAGAACCTCACCAGCCATAACAACATGGTGGCATGTTATTCTCACAAAGGCTCCTGGAACTGTTAACTTGACAACTGATAATTCAGTCCATTTTGCTTCAGTTATCTACGAATGCCTCCTACCCCCGCCCTATTGCTCATCCTGTCAACATGCATTCATCTCCTCTCACCTCTCATTTCCCCAGAAACATCATCTACCTCATCACTCACACAGAAAACAAATTCACAGAAAAATAATCATATTTCCCAGGCGTAACAACACTTTCACTCGTGGCTGCTAAATTCCACTTCCTCACACTCAACAATTCAATTTTTCTCTTACCTTTTCCAGAGTAACTTTTCCATATGCAAACTTTGGTGTGGATGGAGGGATAAGACCTTCTGGTACATTTTCAAACTATAAATCAAGTGGAAAAAGATAAAAAAAGAAAAGAAGATTCAACATTCAGAACTATATTGAGAAAATTCATTTTTAAAAAGTTTTTGGAAAGACAAAAGATTTCCTTCTAAACAGAATCTGATAGAGTTTTACTTCTAAGTGTGTGTCTGTGTTTTAAGCTTGAGGAATCATTCAAACAATGATAGAACAAAAGACTTGCAAAACAGAGAGCAAAAACAAGCAATCGGAAAGAGGGGGAAAAAATAATAGTAATAAAAATTTAAAAATAACCATAGTATTTAGGGATGAAGTGTTAAATAGAATCTGAAGGGAGAGAGCCAAGAGTAAGAGAGACTATTTGTACATTAAATCTTATCTGTGGGTTAAAGTTTTCTATCAATGTCAAATTTGTTGTGGTTACATAAGAGCATATTCCTATCTATAAACATATACTGACACTGAAGCATTTAAGGGGAAACAGTCATGATGGATACAACCCTCCAATGGTTAAGAAGACAGATGAGGGCCTCCCTGGTGACCTAGGGATTAAATCTCAGTGCTATCACTGCTGGGCCTGAGTTCGATCCCTGGGCAGGGAGCTGACCCACATATGGCGCAGCAGACTTCTCCTGTCTTGCCCGTTGCTCCCCTCAGCAGTGTATTTCAGTAGAGCTGCCTATTCTGCTCCCCACTCTGTCTCTGGTGAATCCTCTCATCCCCTGAACCTCTGGTCTGCATCCAGTTCTTATACGTTAAAAAGAGAAAAAAAGACAAATGAGGGGCAAATGATGGAACAAATAGAAATGTTGCCATGGATGAATCTGGGTGCACAAAGTGGTCTTTGCACTATTTTTATTCTTGAAACCTTTCTGTAAGTTTGAAATTATTTTTAGATAAGAACCTACGAAATAAAATCTTGAGTATTAATGTATATCAGAATATACACATACAAATCAGTATATTTATCTGCTGTTTCTTGTTTGATCAATTTACAACATTAACATTGATTTCTTTGATATGAGATTTTAGCTCACTTGCATTATTCCAGGTATCTCTTTTCTTGTGAACATGATTATATCACCATTTTTAGTTTCTCGGCTGGTTACCTTTGTAGCTTTAAATAATATCCTGTACCTTTGTTTCTTAGTTCCATTAATTAAGACATATCATCCTTTATGCCCAAACTTTTTTAAAAAAGATTTTTATTACTTATGTATATAAGAACTGGGGTGCAGGCCAGAGGTACGGGGATCGAGAGGATTCACCAGAGACAGAGTGGGGAGCAGAACAGGCAGACTGACTGAAACACACTGCTGAGGGGAGCAGCGGGTGAGACAGGAGAGTCTGCTGCGTCATATGGGTTGCTCCCTGGCTGCCTGGGGATCGAACTCCTGCTGCAGAGGCTGCGGATTTGCTTCGTAGTGCGGTTCTTAACCCCTTGTGCCACCAGGGAGGCTCCCGCTTTTAACTTTTGTTTCTAATGTCTCTCTCTTGTGACTTCCTCAGTTCACTGAAGCAATGTCAAGATAACTTCCCAAAACTGCTATGTGGAAGGTAAACTTACTAAACCTTTGAAAATGCCAAATGTAGTTGATGATATAGATGGGCACAGAATTCTATGTCAAAAATCTTCTCATTCTTGTTTGTTTAAAGGTAACTGGCTTTTTTACTGTCCAAAAACTTACAGGCACTCTATTCCCTGTGTTCTAAAATTTGCCAACGTTATGTCTGAATATGTATGGTTTTCACATTCATTATGCTGCGTAACTCTGGTATCCTTTCCTGTTTTGGAAAAAAATTCTGTATTTCTTTAATATTTTCTTCTTTTTTTTTTCTTCCTTATAACTAAGTTAGGGGAGGGCAGGATTAGGGAACAAGATGGGAAAGACAACAGACTATGGCAGCGGATGATGGTGCTTTGGTGGTGGGTGTAGCGTGGTGACATAAATCTGAAGAGGTGTGAACCTGTACTCCTGAGTCACAAAAGGTTGTAAACCAATGTTACCTCAATAAAAAAGGTAATTAAGAAAAAGTAAGTTAAACATCTGGAGTGCTGCACTATATATTTCATCTCTTATCTCCCATTTCCATCACTGCCTTCAGGTTCTAATTTCTAGATTATATTTAATTTCCAAGAACGCTTTCTCGTTCTCCACTACTCCTTTTTCAAAGTATCCTGTTCTTATAGATGCAATATCTTCTCAAATCTCTCAGAAGAATATAAACTTGAGAGCTTGTTTTGCTTCAGGGCTCTCCTGTTCCCTGAATTCTCTATTGCCTTAGAGATTTTCTGTTTATTTCAGCTCAGTCTTTCTCTTTCCTGTTGAGGTTTTAAAAATGTTCTTAAATGTCTGACCATCCCAGAAATATTTTGAAAACCCTCGTGCATGGACAGCTTCCATCTTGTTGACTTCGTTAAAAAAAAAAAAAAAGTTTATCATTTAGTAACATTTTGAAAGGGGGAAGAGATAGCCATCTTGATCTGAAAGTCCTTTTCATTTCTAATATTCTGTGAATCTGAATTTCTGTGAAATTTAAAGAGATTATAATAAAATGATTGTCATCATTCATTTTAAAATGAATGTCAAGCCAGAGTTTCTATTGATTATAAGCAGAACAAGATGTCAGATTTCTCTGTGGAGTTTCCCCGTAAGTTTAGACTCCATATTCCTTCTCCTTTTGACAAATGACCTACTCCACCATGACTTCCACCTCACCTTCTAGCTAATAAAACAGAAAACAATCAACAAGCAACTATAAACCAGAGACACACTGGGGGAGGGGGGGGTGGGAAGGAGTAGGATCAAAACAAGGGGGGTGGGAATTGTATGGGGACTATAACCAAGATGAAAATGCATACATTGTGCAAAAATGAAAAATGATGTAAAAAATATATAAAATAAAATAAAAATAAATAAAACAAAAACCAAATCCACATAAATGACCTAAGAGCACTATGATTTGTTTTCTGAGTTTCCCTATTTACCTGCACATGCCATATCTAACTCCTAAAATCAAGATGGATTCCAATGTAACTAGGTCTGCAATCTCTACCACATCTGAAGAAAAAGTCATCGCACAGACACCTTTAGTCCATCAGCATTTTGCTCACTGTAGTAAAGGGATTATGTGCCGGTGTTGGCATCTCATTTTCTAGTGACCCTCGAAGCTAGTTATTTTCTTTTTAGATATGAGACTGGGGAACTTTCTCAAGATTATAGAGACAGTGAGGGAGGGTGCTGGGATTTTGACTCCAAGTCTACAGCTGTTTCTATTGCTCCATCGTGCTACCTTTATTGTTGTAGTGATAATAGAATAAAAAGTATCCTTACCTATAATTTCAAAACCCAAAATACCCCAAACCTTCTCTTTTCCAGTTTTGCTCTTAAACCCTCCCCTTATGTACATGTATAAAATAGAGGGTAAGTTTGTATTCTCTGCTGCCACTGACAATTTTATTTATTACATATTGCATTCAAAAGGATATGAAAGAATTTATATAACCATTCTTACAACAATAGGAGTTGAATTCCCAATTTTTGATTTTATAAATAATGTTGCAGTGAGCAACTTATCCTTAAATTAAAAAAAAAACAAGGGCAACTAGGTCAAATAATATGAACATTTTATATGATTTTTAATTAGTAGTATATACCAAAAATTTCAACCAAATGTCTATACTTATTTGTTTTTTAGCCAATTATCTATCTGGATCTTGGTTTTTTAAATCAGTGAGGTGAACTCATTATAATATCAATATTAAGCCTCCACCTGTCCATCCCATTTGTCACGGTCTTTTCTCTTTTTAATAATTTAGAGATTTTTCACTACCATAGAGAAATGTCCTAATCTCCTAACCTACTTTTGTTTCAGAAAAGAAATGAAAGAATACACCAAAACACTATATTCTGAAACTTTATATCACCATAATAATTTGTGCTTTAAGTATAGTTTTCAGATCAAGCATATGAAAAATGGGAACAAAATTATTTTTAAAAATTGGTCTTAAATTCATGCAAAAGCATACAGTATAAACTCACCACTGCCCCTCTCAGGGAGGAGACGGGCACTGCCCTACAGTCTTATGGTTCATCCTCGAGGTCAAAGTGTTAACCATATCTGGCTGAGTTTTACCCACACCAAAGAGCCTACATTAGAAGACAAAAATGTCAATCTTTGTCATGCCTTGAACAGTCATAAGTGAAGAGGCCGTCTGGTGCCTTCAACAACCTTTTTGAAATGTTTAGCTCTCTCTTTCTTCCTTAAAACACTTCAAAGGCACTCCATGGTCTATAATCCAAACTCCTTAACAAGGCACATTCATGAGCATTAATGTTCTCAGTGGAAGAGGACACCATGTCACCTGTCCATCAGGAAGGAAGTAGAGAGGTGATGCTTTATACCAGGCAGCAAGAAGAGAAGATCAGCATGCTAGAAGAGACCTGAAGGGAGTTAAAGTTTCATTTGAGATTGGAAGTCTAAATTCCTGTTTCAGTCCGTCCACGCTGAAGTTTAAAAATCTGGTGCCTCTGTTTACAATAGCTAAGATATGGAGACCACCTAATGCCCCCAAACTGATGACTGGATCAAGAAGATGTGGTATATAGACACAGTGGAATACTATTCAGCGACCAAAAAAGACAAACTCATGCCATTTGCAGCAGCATGGATGGAGCTAGAAGGGATGCTGCTCAGTGAAATAAGCCAGAAGGAAAAAGATAAATATCAGATGGTTTCACTGGCAGGTGGAATATAGGGAAACCGAGCAAAGGATCAGGAAAGAGACAAAACTTGCAAGCTGACCATAGATTGGAGGCATCCAGCAGAGGAGGGTAGGGAGGGGGGTCAAAACACGGGAGAGAAGAGCACAAGGGACTGTGGTGGTGAATCAAGGGTGCTGTGGTGGTAGGAGAACACAGGAACTATACCTTAAGGGAGAAATCAAATATACGAAACAACGTAAAAAATAACTAAAAAAAAATTCTTGTGCTTGGTTTTGGTGCCAAAATGTGTGGCAGTGGGTCAGAGTGGTCCAGGCCATGTGGTGCATAGAGCAGGGATCCTTGGACAGCAGCGTAACAGGGACTGTAGGGGGCGCTGCTAACAACACAAATTATGATTCCATGAACATTACCTCTTAAGTGTAAAATATGAACTCAGAAAAGCTTAAGCATTCTAAGGGAATTTGTGTATACTATTACAGAGGGGAAACAACCATAAAGGAAAGAATTCATACATTTGGCTACATAAAAAGTCAAGATTGTTTTTCACAGAACAAAGAAATCTGGACACCGTGAAAAATGCCATAATAATAGAACTCATCATTACAGAAAATCAATGTTTTCTTTTAAAACTATCCCTTTTATATATCATATGACAAGGTCAGAAGGAGAATTGAGTGAAGACTAATTGAAAAGCCATTTTTTCCTCAGATTCCTTCTCCCACTCCAAGTCAAGGGTTCTTCAACTCTCGTGCTTATCAGAATTACATTCTGTAACACCTCTAGCGATAAACACCAAAAAAGGAAATAACTAAATCTATGTTTATTTGGTTAGTGACATAACCAAATCCTGTCTGTGATTACAGTTAATGTTACCTGTCACGAATAGACCTTAAGAGTAAGGGGATGTGGTGGTTTTACCCCATCACCCATTCGCTGAGACTGCTCCCCTCAGTAAGTGAAACTTAATTGTGCTGAGTATGATCTGCTTTGAGTGAACTTGCTTCTAGTGAAAAGAACACAGCAGAAGTGATGGAAGGTAATAAAAAGATTGCAGCTTCCATCTTGGAGGCTGGTGCATTCTCTCTCTCTCTCTCTCTCTCTGCTTTTTTCCTCAGATTATTCACTCTGAGGAGCAGCCTGCTGAAGAGCTCCACAGTGTCCAGGAACTGCAATGACCTGCCATCAGCTAAGCAAGTGCTTTGAGAAATGGATCCTTCCTCCCCACGTCTTCAGGGTCTGAAGTTTGACCCCAATGGCTTAACTACAACCTCTACTTTGTGAACTAGAATATCCAACTAAGTCACCTCTAGATTCTTTACCTTCAACTGTGTGAGATAATAAATGTTTGGTGTTTTAACCACCTTTCACCTCAAACCTCAAGCAATCCTTACAGATAAAGATTTAAGAAAATGAGTATGCAGTCAAAATCATAACCAATGCAAGGAAACAAGTTTCACGAACTTGAGCTCACGGAAACAACACAGCACAGTATTAGAAAATCTTTGGGTGCTGGAATTATCAAATGCAGATATGGAGTAGAAGCATCTTAGTGTGCTTAAAGAAATAAAAGGACAAAGTGTACATATAAGAGAGAGCAATAGACTTTAAAAATAAACAAATAGCATTAGAAAAATATAGCAAATGATGTCCAAATGGTGGGTGAGGGATAAGGGAAAAATAACTCAAATCATTCAAAAGAAAGTAATAAAGGGAAGACAAAACAGAAAAGGTAGACAAATACATTATTATAAAATAATGTATTATTATTTTACATTATTATACATCTTATAAAATAAGATGGTTGAAATTAGTGTGTCTTAGGAGTTATAATGAATGAGCATGAATAAATCACCAGTTAAAAGACAGAACTTTTCAAAACAGGTTTTTAAAAAATCCAGCTATATCCTGTTTACAAGAGCCACATGAAACATATATATAAGAGTATTGTAAAAGATCAGATGGCACTAAGGCAAAAGAATACAAGCAAGCAATATTAACAGCAGACAAAAATGGCTTGAAGGCAAAAAGCACTGTTAGAGATAGAAGGTTACCACATAATGATATAGAGGATTTAATTCTCAATTTGCATATCCAATAACATAGCTCAAAAGCTGACAAAACTACAAAGAAAGGGTAGGAAGATGGGTCAAAATAGCGGAGGGAAGAACACAAGGGATTATGGTGATGGTTGATGGTGTGGTGGGAGATTTATGGGGACTACACCTGAGCAGAGAAATCAAATATTGTACAAAAATGAACAACAATGTTGGGGCCTCCCTGGTGGCACAGGCAGTTGAGCGCAGAGCTGTGCAGCTGTCCATAGCTTCTGCAGGGCCGGTTTGATCCCTGCTGGCCTAGGAGCAATCCATGTGGTGAGCAGACCTCTCCTGTCTTGCCCGCTGCTCCCCTCAGCAGTTTGTTTCGTCAGTCTGCCTGTTCTGTTCCCCGCTCTGTCTCTGGTGAATCCTCTCACCCTCCCGCGCATCTGGCCTGTACCCTGGTTCTTGTATAAATAAAATAAATCTTTTAAAAAAAATGAACAACAATGTAAGAAAATAAAGTTTAATTAAAAAAAATCCATAAGCTTAATCTAATGAATGCGTATATACATCAATTATAAAATGTATATATAACCTTTTCAGAATACATGGAATATTAATTAATATTGGTATATCGGCTTTTAAAACTAGGATCAACAAGTTTCAAGGGGTTGGGATCATACAGACTGTATTCTGTAGTTAGAATGCAAATATGGTGGGTCATTGAATAATGTCTTTTCTTTCAATACCATTTTGCTATAACATTGATGAGGAAAAAAATCAGTTCTAGGTGAGGGCCACTCTCTGTGGAGTTTGCACAGTCTCCCCACATCTGTGTGGGTTTTCTCTGATTTCTTCCCACAGCCCAAATATGTGCACACTAACTTAATGGCATGAATTATAAGTTGGGTGTGGATGTGGGTGCGCCTGTGATGGAAGGGTGTATTGTCCTGTGTAGGTTCCTAGTGTGTACCCTGAGCTGCTGAGATAGCAGCTGAAATAAGCAGACTGGAAAATGAATGAATGAATGAACATAAAACATTGCTTAATATTAAGAGTTTGGGGTTGGGGCCTCCCCGGTGGCGCAGTGGTTGAACGCTAGGTTGCGAAGCTGCCCGCAGCCTCTGCGGCGCCGGTTCAATCCCTGGCTGCTCCCCGGCCACCGGAGGGGGGTCCCACATGGCGCGCAGACCTCTCCTGCCGCCCGCTGCTCCCCTCAGCAGTGTACTTCGGTCCTTCTGCCTGCTCTGCTCCCCGCTCTGGCTCTGGTAAATTCTCTCACCCTCCCGCGCTTCTGACTGTACCCAGTGCTTGTATAAATAAATAAATCTTAAAAAAAAAAAAAGAGTTTGGGGTCTTTAATTAGAAGTTTGGTGCTACTTTTCTGGCCATATATATGCCCTGTAGGAACTTAACTCTTGTGTATATCAACTAGCCTGTGGTCAGAGTGGTTCCATTATGTTATTTTGCTTAAAGTTATGGTTTCCAGGAACCCATTGATGACATTAAAGTGAGGAATTATTATATAATATAAATAAACAAACTAGAAAAATACTTATGGTTAATAATTGAAAAGCAAACTTTTAAATAATTCAAAGGTCAAAGAAAAATCAAAATTATAAATAAATATATTACATGTCAAAATTTATGAGCTAGAGTTACAGCAATGCTTGAATATAGAAGGCAAGATTCAAAAGTTCAGCTTCAAGCAAAGGAAGAAAATATTAAAGATAGGAATGGAAACAGAAAACAAACATGCAAGAGAGTTTGGAAGTGTATTGTCCTGTGTAGGTTCCCAGTGTACCCTGAGCTGCTGAGATAGCAGCTGAAATAAGCAAACTGGAGAGTTTGGGAGTCATTATTTAGCAGAGATCAAACCATAATAAAAAATAACATAAGTAACATTTTAACCATACATTCAAAATTTGGTGAAATGGAGAAATTCTAAGAGTATCTAAGTAAAGATCATATTTTTCTGTTTAAAATATTTTATGATATAGTTTAACACCTAGACTTAAATTGAAACTACAACATATTTAAAACCAAAAAAAAAGGTCCATACCATTTACAGGCAGAAAACCTTAGTTTTTTAACTTCAAAACTCAGGTGACTGAGCAGAAAAACTGTGGGTTTTTTTAAAACCCACAGCAGAGACAGGAAACCCCACCTGAGTGCTTTAGATGCCTCAAAAGGTCACATTAACAGGACTAAGCAGTTCAGGTGGCAGGCCAGAAAGAAACAGCAATCACTTGTCCCAAACAGAACTGAAGCAATGCTGACAGCTCACATCTGCACTGCGCCTCAATGCCTACGGAGTTTCTTTCCTAGATTCTTCAGCTCTTCATGAGAACAAACACTTTCCTGCCTTCCATATATAATAGTAACAGTACCCGTAATAGACAACGTGTGTCAGTACCGTACAGGATGCTTATATATGTTCTTTTTAATCTTTATAAGACACCAGGTGCAGTGGGCCCAGTTCTACAAATGAGTAGCCCAGTAGGAACCTGTTTACAAGGTTACCGTAATAAGATGGGGCCAAGACTTAAGGCTGGTCCACCTCCTACATCATCTCATCAGTCTTTTAAATAAAGCCCCTCAGAAGTTGCCTGCGGAGCATAGTGAGGCTCGGGCAGGCTCTGTCCAATACCAGCCCTCCCCAGCCTATATAAGACCCACCTTCTTAATAACATTTCTCACAGCAAAATACTTCTCAGTGAGGTCCCCTGCCTCAGTCAGGGGGGCATCATAGTCGTAGCTGGTAGGCTGCGGTTGGTAGGGTATGTTGGCCCCTGGAAGACAAAAAGTACCCCACTAGATACTAACAAAGTCTCAGCTTTGGAACCTCTTTGGGGTTTGTGGGCTCAGCATCATGGAGGGAGGAAATAAAGGACACGTTAGACCAGCGACAAAGGGGTGGCTCTCAGGATGTGAGGTTTCCTCCTGCAGGCAAGGTCCTTTGCATCTCCAAAGCATGTTCCCCTTCCACTGGCTCAGGGGAAACTCACAGCTGCAACCCCTGCAGATGTCAGTGCTGGAGGAGCAGGAAATCTGAAGCTAACCAGACCTGCTCCACGCCACTACCCAGTGATGGCGGAGCTTGGGGCCTGACAGCACCTCTGCCTGTCAGTCCTGCAGTCTGCCATCTCTCGTGGTCAGACTGTGTCCTTGAGAAAAGGAGACTAAGTGGAGGAGTGGAGGCGACTGAGAATCAGCCCAAAACAGCTGTGGGGCCATGGGACCAAACAAAATGGGAGATGACCCCGGACACATGTTGACACACACAGATTCCAGTGTAACCTGTAGGCCTTTGGAATGTCGGCCAAGAGTGTAGGGGGAGTCTGTGTCTCGCAGATCCCCTTTCAAAACCCGCATGGCTTCGTTCCCAGCTTCCCAGTGAGGCTCCTGAGGCTAACGGCTCTCACCTCTCACGTGAGTCCCTCCCTGCAAACTGGTCTCTGCTATGCTGCTTTGCCCAAGGCTAAGACCCTGCTGGGAAAGGTCATTCCAATGACTGGCCAATGTAGAGACGTAACATCTGGTCCCCTTGCCTGAAAGGGCCACGCCAGTTCCAGACGCCTCTAGAATCAGCCCAGCCAATTTCGACATTGCCTCATGGCCCAACTTTTCCCTCTACCCAGTCCTGCTCCCCAGTCTCTCACCGGTGTTGCTCCGAGGAGCACACCCCTATAAAACAGACTGCTGGCATCTCAGAGTCTGTTCCAGGGGGATGTCATGTCCACGAGACCATTAAATAATGCCAGTACTGTGTAACCAAAAGACAACAAAAGGAAATGACCTGGTAATTATTATTCAAGGGGTAGACGCCAGACCAGAGGCGCCCAACCTAGTCACAGATGTTGGTCACGGACAGGTTATGTGCAATATTAGGCGGGGACCCTCTGACTACGTCAGTACTTAGAGAACTTAGCCATGCAGGAGAGTCATACAACGCTTATTAAAACCCAGATTCCTAAGCCCCACTCAGGGACTCTGACTCAGCCAGTCTGTGAAACTACATTTCTCACAGGGGATGCTGATGCTGCAGTCTGAGGACTCGGGGCCACCCCCTCTCTCTTCCACTCCAGAGAGCATTTTGCAATGCAAGTGTGTGAGCCTGAAGTTATCTTAGGACAATCTATAGCTAACCTACTTTTACATTAAATAAGGCACAAAATTTGATAGTTCACCTGTGGTTTTGTAGCAAATTCCTTTCACACAGCTCAGGAATGATGGAGCCCTGTGTGTGTGGGGGGGTGGGGGGAGCCTACTGATGGTGGTGTTGACAGGTGTTAGGATAAGGGTCAGGTCATTGCCCCAGAGCCCTTTCTCATTAGTCCTTTGCACAGAATCTACATTCATTGTTTCAAGAGCTGCCAAGTTCCAAAAGCTATCAGTCTTGATTCCTGGATTGGACGTTTAGTCTCAATTTCATGAATGGCATCCAGGTGGAATGCCATCACAAAGTTTTAACTGTTTTTAATGAGAAGACAGATACACAAAAATGATCTAAAACTTCTAAAACTAACCTTGATAGTGACATCTGACATTTGCAATAGCTCCATTTCTTAGCTCTAATAACATTAAAAACACTTTGTTTATAAGTGTTCTTCTAATCCATCCCACCCCACAAAAAAGATAGCAGCTCAAAGGGAAAACTTGATTAAGAGTTGATAGTATTTAATTATAGATGCTGAAAGATACAGGCCCAAATTAAGCCTCCAAAATTCATCAGTGATATGAGGGCGTCCTTAATGATTCAGAGAAAAAAGTGCAGATGTGAAAAGAGGTGTGGAATGAGGCTTAGAGAAAAACCAATATAGACTAATTTGTTTTTGTAAAGATTAATGGCAATGAAAAGAATTCTGTCGTAAATTTTCCTACTGAAAAAGACCACATAGAAATGTAAAACGGTGCAGTGGCTTTTGGAAGCACTGTGACCGTTCCTCAACCTCTAGCGTTACCACATGACCCAGCAACTCCATTCCTAAGTATGTGCCCAAAAGAACTGAAATAGGGATTCAAACATATATGCATACATCAATGCTCATAACATTATTCATGATTGCCCCAAAGTGGAAACAACCCAATGTCATCAACTGATGGATGAATAAACAATATAATGAACATCCGTATGATAGAATATTATTCAGCAATGAAAAGGAATGGTGCATGCTATAACACTGATGAACCTTGAAAAGATCATGCTAAATGACAGAAGTCAAACACAAAGGATCACCCATATTGTAATGTTCTATTTATAGGGACTATCTGGAATGGGCAAATCCATCACGAAAGAGACCAGCCATTGTGCAGGTCTGGGAGGAGAGAGTGGGGTTTTGATGGGTATGCGATTTCTTCTTGAGATAATGAGAATGTTCTGGAATCAGATGCTGATATAGCAAATACCCCTGAATCACACACTTTAAAACCATGAATTTTATAGTGTGTGACATAGCTCAACAAAGCAAAATGTTAAAAAAGATTACATCATATTATATGAACAAATAAGCTATAGCTGGAGGCTGTAACTGAGGCTCGCCCAGTTAGTCTGGTTTAAGACAATAGAGTTTTTAAATGCAGAAGTTATGTTCTCTACAATTTTTAAAAAGACACATGATTTCTTTTAAATTATAGAGATGCTCCTTGTTGAAAATTTAGGAGAAGACAAACAAAAATAGAAAATAAATTTCTGTAGGCACACCCTGCCAAAATTAAGCACCAGAAGTTTCTAGCATAAGCTTCTACAAATAGATGTTAAATTACTCTTACCATTCCAATAGGCAAAATTGGTTCCTCCTATAAACATGTACCTACAAGAAAACAAGAGAACAGATAATACTTCACTGTGAGCCCACAGCTATGGAGGGCACCCTCTCCTCCAGAAATTCACACTCACAAGTTCACACTAGCTCCAAGGGCAAGAATGTTATAGAGGGAGGAAGCCACATTTTCAGCCTTCACTGTTGAGTGAGGTTGACCCCAGTGGTCTAACCAGCCAGTGTAGAATTCAGAATTTACCTAAAAAGAAAAGGGAATTGAAGTTTAGGATAAACTTATAACCTTCAAATACTGCGACTTCCCTGTAACTGTCACCCCAGGTTCTTCATCCAGGAGCAGCTGGAGAGAGGAATTGATACCCACAGCTTAGTCCAGAGTCAGGGGACCAGCAAGGACTTCCCATAACTGCATTGTCCAAACTCAATTCTCAGGTGCCAACAATACGGTATTTCTAAAAAGTTCTAACTGCATCAATTTTTTTTCACCAATCCCCTGTTTAAAAATGGAGAGGGGCCTCCCCGGTGGCGCAGCGGTTGAGCGCCGGGCTGCGAAGCTGCCCGCAGCCTCTGCAGCGCCGGTTCAATCCCCAGCCGCTGGGTGAGGGTCCCACATGGCGCGCAGACCTCTCCTGCCGCCCGCTGCTCCCCTCAGCAGTGTACTTCGATCCTTCTGCCTGCTCTGCTCCCGGCTCTGGCTCTGGTGAATTCTCTTACCCTCCCGCGCTTCTGACTGTACCCAGTGCTTGTATAAATAAATTAATAAATCTTTAAAAAAATAAATAAATAAATAAATAAAAATGGAGAGAAAGTTTGTTGGGCGAAAGAATCAGATGGCAAAATATTTTTATAAAAGGAATCATCTCCAAATTCACCCTTTGTGTGAACCCAGATTTTCAGATCTCAAGTTGAATTAAAGTGAGAGACATTTGTCCGGTTTTCTGTCAACCAGGCCCCACATTACTTCATGTTTCTTTTGGGCATTACCCTGCCAAGTCCTTAATCTATTATAGACAAAGAAAAAGAAATCTGGGTGTGTCGTGGGAACTTCTTGTCTCAGGCTCTTGGAAATAGCTCTACCCTGAGTCTGTGGTTGCAGGTTCCCCACAGCTCGCTAAGAGGAGACCAGACTCAGAACAAGCTTTTTTTGTGCAAATGTTTGTACCCAGGTGAGGCTGACTGACCTGCTGCAAAAGGCTCAGGACAATGTGGGGCATAGCAAAAAAAGAAAAAGAAAAAAGGCCAGCCCAGGATCCTTTTCAGGATCATACACTACATTTCACAAGCACTGCTATGGGGAGCACAGTGGTGGGCGAATGGGCTGTATGCACCTGCTGGACTTTAAGGTCATGTCCAGCCACCTGCCAGCAGGCAACAGTCCTGCAACTCAGTGTGCCAGCATGCCACCTTCCCCGATGCTGGTCAGAAATGCAGACTCTCAGGCTCCAGCCTGGGCCCAATAGATCAAAATGTGCATTTTAATAAGATTCCCATGTGGCTGGCAAGCACACTGACAGCGGAGAAGCTCCGTCACAAGGAGCCTCCAGGATCACAGACCTGGCTCAGCCCCAGGCCCTGCCATCCACAGGCTGCAGGAACCTGGCAAGCGACATGTTCTCTGAGCTGCGCTGAAAATGGAGATGCTGCTCCCCTTCACTACTAATGAGAGTCGCCACGAAGACCTAGTGGGGAGGAGCATGAACAGCACAGAGCCTGGTGCCTGGCAGGGTATTCACATTACTGCCCATTTGGTTCCATGCCAGGGTGGGCCCTCAGACTCTGATGGGGACTTCGCTTCTGCGGCCACTCGTGGGTTCAAAGGGTGGTCTCCGCATCCATCAGCTGCTGGCCCCAGAGCAGGGAAAGCCAGGGTCTCTCCCCCTTGGATGGCCCATCACCCTGCTCCCCAGCACTCTGATGAACTTGGCACAAGCAGGCAGGCGCTTCCCCAGGTCTTACCAAGGGCCCTCTGGGCTCACTATTCCTCTGGGCTAGGAAAGCAGCTGTGATGTTGCTGTCTGAAATGATGAGAGGGAGAAGGAAGGTCAGTGGTGGCAATGACAAGAAGATAAATAGTCGGTTACAGGACTTGAACCTGAGGCCTCTGCCCTGCTCTACCCCCCATGGGCTGGGAACACGTGCCCGGGTGAGCAGAAGTCTGCACCCAGACCGTCCACATGAGGGATGTGTGAGGCCCACGGCATGTGGCTTCCTCTCCGGACAGGTTCCCATGGCCTTGGGAATTCATGCAATGGGCCTGTCTCCTTCATCTGTGTTCCCCCATGGCTGGGGCACATGCCTGTGGGCTATCTCTGCCCATGGGTGTCTGACTCTTAACAGGATGGGTTTGCTGTGAAGATACTTCCTTGTGGCCTCTGCTGCGTTTTCCCCAAATAATCGAGGCTACTCTGAATTTGAATCTCATCAGCCATTCCAGACACTTGCTCTCAATTTTCCCTTCTGAAATATTCCACTAGGGTATCCACGGGTTGTCTTAGATCCCATATCTTCTGTTCTTCCTTCTTCTTCTAAAAAGAGAGGGGATGGGTCGCCTGGCATCAGTGAAAGGGTGAGCCTAAACAGTGTCTCCAACCAGAGAGGAGGGCATGCTGGCCCCAAATTTCACAGTCTGGTTTCCATAGCAGGAATCCCAGAGGAGAAAAGACACCAGGCAGGATGTCCAGGTGACCCTTGCTTTTGGACCGACTTTTGGCTGTCAAGGAGAGCTTTCAGGAGGGATGGTGCTGCTCAAGAAGCAGTGGACTCTCATGTACTCTATAGCTGTATTTCTCACTACTCAGCACCAGGTGGCATTCCAGCTTTAAATATTGTTCTTGTAAATCTCCTCCTGTGAGCTGACCTCTGGCAATACCCCCTTCCACACAAATGAGCAAAGTTGCCACATGCCCCACCTGCCCCAGCACAGTGCCCTCGTAGTGGTCTGTCCTGCAACCCACGGCAGAATCACCCCTGCTGTCACCCTACCTACAAATAATGCTTCCCACAGGCTACTATTATTACAACTAAATCTTCCATTCATCCCCAAACAGAAAAGACTGTGCTTTGACCGTGGAGTATTACAAAGCCATAAAAAAGATGAACTGCAGCCATTTGCAATAAAATGGAGGGAATTCGGGAGAATTACAGGCAGCAAAGTAAGTCAGAATAAAAATAAATACTGGACATTTACAAAGCAGACCATTCGATAACAAAAAAAACACTTTCAAAAACCAGCAGACGTCAATAAACTTCCTGAGGGTTCTGAGGTTAAGAGAGCATTGTGAGGGAATGGGACAAGAAGTAAACAAATAGTCACACCTGGAAAGAAAAATACCATGCTTTTCATCACCATGGCGGCAAATGTGCCAAAGCAGAAGGAAGCCAGCCTGCCACTTCCTGTGCAGCTCCCTGCAGATGAGCTATTTCATCACCAAACGGTCTGAGCAGGGTGCCACATTCTCAGTTCACTTAAAGGCAGTGCTTTTCTCTTTCAGTAATGTAGAAGAAACTCTTCAAAAATGCAACCTGGGTCTTGTGTATGTCCTTCTCAAGAACGTGCTCTGTTTCTCAAGAATGTGCTTTGTGTGTAAATACAGCGTCTCCCTCAGAGGGAAGCAGGCTGTTTATGTTACATCAAGAGCTTTTCTTGGGGAAGAGGGTGGAGAGCAAGTTTTTATTTTGTAATATTTCAAACTTCTAGAAAAGTTATGAGAATAGCTCCGAGAATTCTCATGTCCCCTCTTCCCAGCCTCTCCAATTGTTAACATTTTACCACATTTACTTTATCAGTTCCGCCCCCCCTCCTCTATAAATACAGTACTTTTCTGAGTCATTTGACAGTAAGTTGCAGACATGATGGTTCTTTACCCCTAAATACTTCACTGTGCATTTCCTAAGAGCAAGAACATTTGTAAATAAACATGAAACAATCATAAAAACCAGGAAATTAACAGGGACACAATACGTTTCTCTAATCTACAGACATATTCAAAGATTTGTCCAATAATGCCCTCCCTCCACAGCACAAAAAGATCAGAGGCTGGATTTGGTTGTCATGCTCTTTAGGAAAACTGCTCTCAGCTTCATCGAAGACTCCCTTTGTGTTTTCTGTAGCTAGAAACATCCTATCGATAGGGTTGCCCACCCAGAACTGCAGTTTACAAAGCACCAGAGACGCAGGTGAAATGACTTTTAAAGAACCCCCCAAACTACCTCCTGCTCACCAGAGCTCATTTGTTGTGAATTATGCAGGAAGATGATGGAGGGGTGAGGTATGCTGCCTGCACTCCAGGGTCGACATGCCAACCACATCCAGGCAGCGGCTAACCTCCAAGGTCACCATGGTTGAGAGCCAGCCCCCAGCATCCAGCCAAGGTAGAGGGACAGGGAGAGCAAAGAGCAGCAAGCAATCCCGGACTCAGCCTAGAAGGTGACTCCCTGAGGACATGCCCTGAAGCAGTCACAGCTGGAACTGGTCCTGGGTTGGCTGATTCCAGGGAGGACAACACTCCAGGTTCCCGGCCAGCTACTCCAGACCTCTCATCCCAAAGTCCAAATCAGCTTAAACAAAATCCTTTGCAACAGAGGGTGCCTATCAATTGTTCTAGCTTACCTGCTACTTGAGAAAGGGAAATTTGAGACCTCTCATTCAGTATGCCCATGCCACTTAGACCAGCTGCCCAGAACAACCGATGGAGCAAGACCCAAGTCCCAGTAGGGTTTTCTGTTACTCTAAACACCAACCTGCTCCAAAGTCGACCGTGGTGTAGAGCCCCTGCAGTGCCCCACACTTCAGAAATGCTTGTCGTGCCCCATCGGTGGTGAACAGAAGCACGTTATCACCCAGGTAGTAGTGGAACCTCTTCTGCAGGAAACGCAGGTAGTCATAATCACAGGAGAAGTAGCTGCCATATTCATTTTCAACCTGCATATTGCAAAAAAGAGGGGGAAAAATATCAGACCCCTATGCAGTCATTCTAACGCAAGGCTCTGTCTAGAAAATACCTGAGCATCTCCTGAGATGAGGCACGATGACTGCCACAAGGATCCCTTCTACTCAGTCCTCAAGTCTCTCACTTTCCAAAAAGCAAAATACTCAGCATAAAATCTTACCTCCTACCCCACCCCCCCACAAGTAAGAGAAATAAAACCAAAGTACTGTGCTGGTTTTCAGATTGCAGTGATACTCTCCTTTATAACAAAACTTTGAACATTATATAAGTAACACCTGCCCATGGCAGAAATATAGAAAATGGAGAGGGGCCTCCCTGGTGGCGCAAGGGGTAAGACACAAGCTATGAAGCTATCCGCAGCCACTGCAGCACGAGTTCGATCCCCGACCAGGGAGCAACCCACATGGCGCTGCAGACCTCTCCTGACTCGCCCGCTGCTCCCCTCAGCAGTGTGTTTCAGTCAGTCTGCCTGTTCTGCTCCCCGCTCTGTCTCTGATGAATCCTTTCACCTCCCACACCTCTGGCCTGTACCCCAGTTCTTGTATGCATAAATAAATAAACTTAAAAAAAATACAGTTTAAAAAAAAGAAAATGGAGAAAAAGGAAAAGAAGATGGAAAAAATTATCTGCTAATGGGTTGTTATGAGGATTAACTGTGTCAATACAGGAGTAGGCTTTGCACACGACTGGGCACCTGGGGACTGCTCAGAAAGCAAGCACCCAGGAGTACAGTCAGGTTCTGTATCTTCCAACTAGAGGGGGAGAAAGAGCTGGGGGGTTAGGGAGGTGAGAGGGGAACACACAGAAAAGGACTTGAAAAACAGATAGAAACAGTCACAGTGAGATGAGATCACTGATTTTTCCAGAGTGGGGTGTCAGCACACTTTTCCAATAAAGGATCAGAGAGTGAATACTTGAAGCGTTCTGGTGGCATCTGTCTCAAATGCTCAGCTCTACTGGAGCCCCAGAGCAGCCGCAGACAGGACATAAAGGACAGCGGGGCTGTGTCCCAAACAAAAATGGGCGCGGGTTAGATTTGCCCCCCGCTATGCTTGGCAGATCCTCACGCCAGAAGGGCCATCTCATCCCATATGCGCCTTAATGAAGCAACATAGCACTGTAGGCTTTCAAAGCTGCCGATCCTTTATTGCAACCGGTATAAGCAGGGCTGTAATCTCACTCATGGGACGAAGCAGAAGTTGTGGGTGGAAAACGTGCTCCCAATTCTTTTTACCTCGGATATTATCAACAGACGTTGGTGACTTTACTTCTCTTAGGTGCAGACTTGGCACAGGCTGACATAAACGTCTGCACGAGCGCACCAGCTTAGCTGGCACGGGTTTAGCTAATCCCTCCAGAAGAAAATATTTGTAGACGGCTGAATCATAAGGCTGGCTTCCTGCAGCTGTGAGACAACAGGGTCGAGGGCCCTCCACACCCACAGGCAGAGATTGGCGCCTGTTGGTCTGAATTATTTTTGCCCTGGCTGCAGACAGCTACCTCCTCTCTGGCCTTTTCAGACTCTTGGGTAGCCCAAGAGAGCACCAACTTTGAGAACTGAGTGAAACCAGCATTAAGACAGTGAAATTAGCATTTACAGAAAGCTTGACTCAGCAAAAGACTCTCTACCCACTCAAGTTTCTTTCTCATCTAATCCACCGGCGTCTGTTTAATTCCAGAACTATCTGGTGGGCGTATGATGGGCACACATGGGAGATGTGACCACGTGGCTGCCGGGAAGACATGTGGGGAGCAGAAGGGACTGGGGCTACACCTGGCAGGGCCGCCCTGCTACAAAAGCTGCACAAACAGACATCGAACAGGGACCCAAGAGCCCAGCCAATGCCCTGAAAGTCAACTGCAAAGCCCTGGGGACACAGGGACATGGTGTGAGCCACGCCACAGGTGACGAGCAGGGCGTGAACTGGACATGAGAAGAATGTTTAATAATCTGGAGTGATGCTTATGACAAAAGACTAAAGTTTGAAAAGTGGATAGGAAACTGGTCAAGCAGTATGAACAGACTCTGTACAAACAAATAATTAAAAGGTGTAGGAAAAAATTCAAGGAAATCTCCCTCGAAAGTAAAAAGTTTTGCTTCTGGTTCCTAAGGTTTAAGTGACAGTTATGGTGTTTGTTTTTTCTGCTTTCTTGTATGTTTCTGTACTTCCCAAAGCATACTTGTTTATTTACTGATCAAGGGACCAAGAGATAGCTGCCACAGAGGTAGAGATGTGAAGGCAAGGGTGGGAAGGAGGCCCAGCATTCTGGCAGGATCCAGGGTCAAGTTAAAATCATCTGAAGTTGCCAGGAATGGACACAAGAGGAAACATCCCCACAATACAGTCAACTTTCCTCTCCTCCAGAGTTCATATTTAATTACATTTTTTGGTGGCATTTCAATAACCAAAAAGTGCAGAAAAGTTGTGAGCAAAACTTGAAAGTGATTTCAGGAGAGGTGGGAAAATGCAGGAAACGAAAGAAAACCTGTGAGCAAGAGAAAGGAAGAAAACCCAGCTGTGCGGAGCAGACACACCCAAGAGCTGCACGTGAAATCTTTAGACAGGAAAATGTGGCTTCCATAAGTCTGCCCAGTGGACTGAAGACGCGTGAAGGGACATCAAGTGCTACTTGTCCCTCTTTGAGCAGCCCCTGGTGTCTCCCCACCACGCAGTGTCAGAAAAGACACCCTAGTCAGCTCAGCCTCCTCAATGCCTAGTCACGTCTACACCCAAGGGGCGGGGGCACGCCCATGTTCCTTCCACCAATGACCTGACCCTACAAGCCATCCATAGGACTCTTCATAAAAAGGAAATCTGCCTTATGCTCCCAAAAGGAGCACTGTACTGCACCCCTTGATACCCTAGAGTGCAGCCAGTTTTATATAACTTTATTCCTTTCAATAAGAGCATCCTTGGTAAAATACCCAGGGAAGCAGGGTTCATGTATTTTTTTTTTAAAGATTTATTTATGCATCCAAGAACTGGGGTGTAGGCCAGAGGTGGGAGGGTGAGAGGATTCACCAGAGACAGAGTGGGGAGCAGAGCATGTGGATTGACTGAAATACACTGCTGAGGGGAGCAGTGGGTGAGACAGGAGAGGTCTGCTGCGCCATGTGAGGCACCTCCCTGGCTGGCGGGGATCCAACTTGTGCTATAGTGGCTGGCAGTAGCTTGATAGCACTGTGTCTTTAACCCCTGCGCCACCAGGGAGGCCCCCAGGGTTCATGTTTTACCAAAGCAATTTTACAAACATCATTGAAGGTCCCAAATTATCACATGGAAACTAAAATACTTGCCACATGATCTACCCCACGGTACACAAGTCTTTGAAGAGCAACACACACGTGGAAGGAGGAGAGTAGGGGCAGGAAGTGGGGAGAAAGCAGAATGACACAATTCACTGCATCCTCTTTCTGTACAGGTATGAGCTGACTGTGTAGACACCAAAGGGGTTCAGCTCCTGCTGCACCTTGCAGCCAGAGGGCAACTGGGCACAAGAGAAAGAGACAGATCACGCCTTCAGCGGGCCAAGCTTGCAGTCCTGATTTTGCCACCTGCCAGGTGGGTGACCTTGTGAAGGTCTTAACTAGCACGAGTCTAGTACATGACAGGCATGGAAAAATGATAACACCTTCCTAAAATGCAATTTAAATAAATTGCCTGTGGCATCTGTGGCACTGGCTCTTAAAGAAGCCAACTTGTGAGGCTCACGGCAGCATCACTCAGGTACAGAATGTGGAGAGACGGAAGCTACCCCACCCGCCCACGCTCGTCTCCATGGTTACCTGCACTGTTATAATGGGCCCTCCATTCTGATACAGCAGAGGCTTCATTTTGGGCAGGATGACTCCCAGCCACTTGTTCACAGCCTCAAGGTAATCTGAAAACAAGACAGGATTCACACCATCACATACCTTTGAATACAGACAGACACAACCCTGGGTCTGGCAGCAGAGATCACGGTATGCTGGATTCAGCAACTACCTTCTGAAATGGGTAGCTACATGTACTGCAAGTCTGATAAAATTTGTCCTGCAAGGAATCGTCTCTTCAGCTGAGCTCTCAGTGGGTGAGGGCTGGGACTGGTCTCTGTCGATACCGTAGGGCACAAAGCCTAGAGTATAGCAAGCACCCAGACTGGTTGTGTGGCATGGGGAAAGGAGTGGCTGAATGGTATCTCTCTGTCACAGTGGAGCTTTTTCTTATACTTTATTAGAACTTAATTTTAAAAAGTTAATTTTTACATTGTCAACTGGGGATGCTAGGGTACATTATAAAGTTGCTATAAGGATTCAATCAGATGTATGAAAATACTAATAATGTCCAAGAAATGTATGTTGAGGATAATGTAGCAGCCATTTACACGGTAAACTTAATCAATGTGGCTACTCTTTGACCATCTTCACCACCAGCATCACCAAGAGAAATTGAGGTCTTCAGAAGCTAGAAAGGCAGCGAAATGGGACTTTCTGACTGGTCAGGGTTTAAAGCTAAAATAATCTCTAATAGTCTAAAAACAAGAGAAAACTATGACAAAAAACAAAAACCAAAAAACCTCTGTAAAAGTAAACAAAGAAATAGAAGGCACTTTAGCTACAGAGCAATCAAGTGGCCACAGACCAGAAGCTAAGTCCGCCATTTTGTTAGTTAGCTGCTCTTACTGGTAGCATAATGTACTAAGTGAGGGGTGGGGGGGGGGGGAGAGAGAAAACATTATTTTTGCTACTGCTGCTACTGTCACTACTTCCTACACACTCACACTTTGGGGTTGTTCAGTAGATAATCAACATCCAGGCCTTCACTAAGCTTTTAGAAGTGTTCGCACAGAGGGACCCCAGCCTTCAAAATACCTGACCCCTTTGATATAAATTATCTAAGTTTTCATAATTTCTCTCAAGACCGCTGCAACAACTTACATGGATCAGAAGAACGGAGAACAACAGATGGATTTTCTAATAACCAAGCAGGTAATCCTCCCTAGGACAGGGGAAAAAAGGACGTGATTAGGAAGTCCATTCCCTGCAAGGCGCCAGGGAGACAGATGCCTCTGGCAGTGAGGGGAAGCGCAGTTTCATGGAGAAGGGGTACTTCCCTGAGTGGCCTTCAACTTTGAGGGAAATTAGAAATTGTAAGATAATAAAAATAAGATCGTCTTGCATGAAAACAATATTTTGAGAATCAAAGCCTTTTATTTAGATTATTCCACTTAGTTCCATCATTTCCCTGTGAGATAGATGGAACCCACACCATTTTCTGCCTTTTATAGAGCAGGCACTTCCTAAGGTAAAAGACATCTTTGCTGGCGAGAGTCGCAGGCTCCTCATTATCTGGGATTAGAGACTCATTTAAACTGTTCTCTTTCCCCTGGCTCCCTCCTGCCAGCCCACCCTGTTGTGCACCACAGAAAGGCCCAGGGCAGCCACACTCACCATGTCCCACTCCGCGCAGATATAGGGCCCAGGCCTCAGGATAACCAGCAGCCCCAGCTCCTGTGCCAGTTGAATAAAATGCTCCACATCATGCTCCCCAGTGAACTGGTACTGTCCCTTTTGGGGCTCATGGAAGTTCCAGGGCACATACCTATCAAGACACACACAGCCCTTTCCTGGACACTGGACCAAGTAATAGTGGTGGGGGAAGGGCACCTTCTTAGGACTACTACTAACGCAATGATTAAAAGAAAAAAGAGGGGAAGCCTGGTTAAGAAAAATTATCTGGAACCTGGAGATAAAGGATAACTGCATTTCCTTTTGATGTTACACTGGAATGTTGTCCTATGGGCCTCCCCAAGGGTTCTTCAATCTCTGGGGGAAATATTTTGTTTGACTTACTTTTTACTCTAGATAGGGGAATGGCTCTGAAGTTACACATTAACTTGTAGATGTTTGCCTGGTAGAGATGTAAATGATTATTGTCATAGAGAGAAGATAACTAAAGGTTATGGTTTCATTACCTGTTACTATCATAGCCAGTCTTAACTCTAAAGATAAATTTACTTCAGCATAGCTTTCTTGATGATGTAAACTCTTCCTCAAATTCTCCTGCAAACCATCTTTACCATCCAGTTAGTTCCATATGTTTGACACATCTTCACTATGTCTAAATGCTTGTAAGTCATGTTTTTAGGTTTTTGTAATTATACTTTCCCTAAGTCATTGGACTAAGGTGCTCTGGGGAAGACGGGAGAAATAGCTCAAACTTCCAGATGGCTACAAATAACTAATCAAATATCTGAAACCAATAAAATGTTATGTTAATTATGCCTCAATAACAAAAAAGAAAAAAACCCAGATGTCCTGAATCTCTGAACTACCTACAGAACAATAAACCCCCAGGACATACAGTTCTCTCCCTCTGGCTGCCTCTTGAGAAGTACACCTTGTTTTGAGGTTCCACAGCAGCTACCCAGCAAGTCAAACTTGGTAGGGACACCCTTAAATTTATGACCTACAGAGAATGCCCACTCTCACTTAACGCTTGACTTTATATAAGTCAGTTGGGGTCAGTTGAAGTTTGATCAACTTCAAAGTTGATCAAAACAATCTTTATAGACGCTCTAATAATACCTCCCATTTTTAAAAGTCTATGTGAGATGATGGATGTTAACTCCACTTATTGTGGCCATAGTTTCACAATTTATATAAGTCCAGTCATGATGCGGTGCTGCATGTCAGTTATACAGCTGCAGAGTTGTTACCCTGGAGCACTATCCAGTGGGCCTAAGCTAAGGTGTCTCTCACTCTCCGGGGGAGCTATACACAATGCTTTGTCAATTGTATCTCAATGAAACTGGGAAAAAAGTCTTTCAATATGGTATAAACATTAAAAGCAATGAAAAATATATAGAATTGTATCAATGTTAATTATTACTGGATATAAATTAAATATGCCTTGGAAAGCTTTAGAAAAATGAAAATAGAAGTGCCAAAGTAATAAAACATGCTTGTTTCTTGAAGAATATCTTTTAATAAAGAATCAGAAAACCTCCAATCTAGTGTGTCCTCCTGACTGGAGATTCTGTCAGGAAGAGCATGCAGCGCAGACACAGACAACTTTGAAGCCACCCACCACCCTCACCAAGAGCTCTGTGATGATGCCCGCTGGCTCAAATCCTCTTTTCATGACCCCATTTGAGGGAGGAAGTGTTCCCTGGAACAATCCTGATCCCCTAAAACTTAGCGCTCAAAATACAGACAGGAGCCAGTAAGCCTTAAAACAGAGTAACAAGTGTGATTCTTCCTGACCATCTGTCCCAGGAGACTACCCCTGGGTTTCTGGTCCTTTATTTGGAAAAGTTATCACATTAGCCTTGCAAAAAACAGCAGCCAGGACCCCAGACTTTCTCCCCAGTTAGTTACTTTGCAATAGCAGAAGAGATGAGAAGACAGAATTTTGGCCTAATTGGATAACCAGCTATAGAATTCTCCAGTAGAACCATCAAGACAAAGGAGGTTTCAGGAATCTACCTGACCAGGTGCATTTCCCTGAGAGTTAAGAGAAGCAGTGGCTGTCTGCAAACACCCTACCTTCACAGAGACATGTGCTTGGGCAGTGTCTGGTTCAGCAGCTGTACAGGGGGACGGTGGTACCCACCTCATCCCTATGGAGTCACTATGTCAAGTGCCTGGTAAATGGTCATGATCATTGGCCAGTGATTGTTACTCCCTTTTGCCTTTGTGATAGTTATGGAAGAAGGACTGGTCAAGCTTGTGACAAGCCTCTGCAAGCTTAAGATGTTTTTCCATTTCTGAGCACAAAATAGCTGCACTGAGAAATGCAGCTGTCCCCTCTCTCCGGGGGAGGGTGAACTGGGTCGGTGAGAGGGACCGCCCGCTGCTTACGTCTGGATGGCGTTCAGCCCCGCCATCTTCATCTTCAGCAGCCGGTCCTTCCAGTAGAAGCGGGGCACTCGGAAGTAGTGAATGCTGCCAGAGATGTAGCGGAATGGCCGGCCATCCTTGAGGAAGCGGTCGTGCTTGTAGTCGATTTCGAAGGTCCTCGGGGAAGCATCCTACAGAGCAAGAGTGGGACCAAGTGAGAATTTCCACCTTCCCCATTTCAGAAGCAAGAGACTCCTGGCCTATTTAATTTGCTTGTTGTGCTGATGACATTCATGCTTGGTTTCTGGGCTGCTGAGCCAGATCTGCTGGATACCCTCAATAAGAGAAACCAGGGGGACCCATGTATAGGGGGGGTTCTAGTGGTTTTCCTTCCTGATGCCAGCACTAATCTGAACATCAGTGGCTGGGATGTGGAAGTTACAATCCCAAAGAGAACATTCTGCTGGTAGTGACTATAGCAAAGCCCCTGCACCCCCTTCGTGGCTGTGACCCTCCTGGGCACTGGATGTACCTCAACAGTGATGTCACTGGGACTACCAGGCCCATTAAGAAAAATACAACTGGAGGCATCCCTGGGGATGCAGGGGATTGAGTCTCAGCACTGTGAAGCTATACGCAGCCACTGTAGCACAAGTTTGATCCCGGGCCAGGTAGCTACCCACATGGCACAGCAGACCTCTCATGTCTCCTGGCTGTTCCTCTCAGCAGTGTATTTCAGTACATCTGCCTGTTCTGCTCCCCACTGCTTCTGGTGAATCCACTCACTGCCCCACACCTCTGGCCTACACCCCAGCTCTGTGTGCATTGATGGATAAAAATAAATCTTTAAAAAAAGAACACAGAGCCTCCCTGGTGGCGCAAGGAGTTAAAACGCAACCTATGAAGCTATCTGCAGCCACTGCAGCATGAGTTCGATCCCCGGCTGGCCAGGGAGCATCCCACATGGCGCAACAGACCTCTCCTGACTCACCCGCTGCTCCCCTCAGCAGTGTACTTGGGTCAATCTGCCTGTTCTGTTCCCCACTCTGCCTCTGGTGAATCCTCTCACGCCCTACACCTCTGGCCTTGTACCCCAGTTCTTGTATGCATAAATAAATAAATCTTTAAAAAACATACACACACACAATTGAAACCTGCAGGCCTGAAAGCAAGGGATTGGAAGCCCAGGGCCCTGAAGCCTCATCCTGGGTGCCGCTCTCCAGCCCTGCATCTCTTCATCTATAAATATGCAGACTACCAGGCCAAAAGAACTCTATAGCAATACATTTTGAATTGCAGGCTTTGACCCAATTTGTGAGTCATCAGCTCAGTATGGGTGATGATGGGCACATTTTTAATGAAAGAGAACAGAGTGCATGTATACGTGTCTCTTCATGGGGTTGCAATGTTAGAGATTTCTAGCAATCAATTGAAATGTTCAGAAATACTGTTTGGGGGTGAATTTAGGAGCAAAAATGCTTGGATTTGAAAGGTCTCAAAGGGGAGCCTATGCGACAGAGAGGAAACACTGCCCTCCAGTGGACGGGAGGAGGCAGCACCATGTCTCAGGTGGGCTCTGGAGGAGGGTGGCAAGAAACCAGCTCATTGCATATTTTTGCTTCCAAAGGTCAAAATACTAGTTTTTTAAAAAGATTTCCCCCTGCCCCACAGCAGTACCGTGATCTGTAGAACTTGGCGTTGCCCCTGAACCCACATCTGGAAGCAACTGTTTGAGTGCATGCGGGCTAGATCACACGATGGGGTCAAAGTACTGAGACTTAAAGTTAAACAACTCTTAATAGCTTATTCGGTGGCAGTTTATTGAGTCATCACCCAATAAAGCTAACTCAAAAATGAATAAATAATCTAACAATCATAATAAAGGGCAAGAATGTCAAATTTTAATATACCTTTACTTTTCTAGTAAACAAGATTTAGTTGTTATTCAAAGGCAAGAATCTCCTAAAGGAAATCACAAAAATATATTGATCATTTCTCACACCAGGTGCCCCAAGGGATGGTTTTGAAACCATTTTCACAGCACCTATGTGATGAATTGTCAAATAATTCATCCGGAATTCAACCAGTTCTGTGAGTTTAGAGGTGGCTCATGAGTTGGGAAAATTCTTTGCACAGGTAGAAAAGAAGAGGGCAACTTTGAACAGAGTTTGAAAAGGGAAGGGAGCGCTTGAAGTTGTCTTGTCCAGGGGAAGAGGGTTCCAAGGAACAGAAGAAAGGTTGGTGAGAAATGATTGGTGTTTGTCCCCTACAGCAGGGTGCCATCTCTGCATTCAAACCACCACTAAGTTCATTTACCTCCCTACCATTCATTTACAGCTATTACCAAGCACCTACTATATGCTGCATCATCAGAGAGAGGAGCCATGCCCATGTGGCCACAGCACACACATGTCTATCTAGCCAAGGCCCCACATGTGAGATGGTAAAGCAAGGATCACATCATCACGTTGTATTGCTTGAACTTACACAGAGCTATATCTCAATTGTATAATTGTCAATAAAGTTTTGGGGGGAAGATTAGAACAGAGTGCTATAGCGATAATAAATGGCATATAACCTAGGCATGGGGGTGGGGGTGGGGGGTAAGTTTCCCAGAGGAAGGAACCTTCTAGACTGTGGTTCTCAACCTTTTCTGCACATCAGAATCTCCTGTGCAAGCTTTTAAAAATAGCAAAAGTGGGGCCTTACCCCTCAGATATTCAGATTTTAATTGATTTGGGCCAATCCCAGGTATTGTTATTTCTGAAAATAGTGCAGATGATGTAGTGTACAGACAGGGTTGAGTGCTACTGGCCTAACCTAAGCCCTAGGATGAGGAAGAGTTGGCCAAGGGGAAGGCGATGCTGGCAGAGGGCACTGTGTGTGAAGACTGGTGGAAAGAGGGCAGGATGCAGGATGGAATCTCAAAACAGATAAAACACGGTGGGGGCTGAAACAGAGTTGCGGCCAGGGGCCAGGTCAAATCAGCCCCGAAGTCCAGGTGGGGACTTGACATCAAGTGCTCTGGGCAACAGCCTCGTGAACAGATCATGAAGGTGATTCCATGGAAGAAGCATAGAATCAGGCTTGTGTCTTCAAATGTTTAGCACTCTGACCTTTCCCTGAGGGCCATTAAACATGAGCAGAAATATGGCACATGGTGATGGCAGTGAGGTAAAACTAAGGTAGACAGGTGGGAAAACTCACAGAACCAGAACGTTGGGTAGATGCCAACCTGAATGTGAGGAGACTTCACTGCCTCAGGTAGAAACATTTAGGGGGGGCGGTACGGAGGGAGAGAAGTTGGGCGGTAGGAGGAAAGACTTAAAATACTTATCAAGGACAAAAGTCCTTGATACGGAGTTAGAAAACCAAGCCAGCAGCTGTAGATGCTGCAGTTGTGTCTTCAAATTCATGCTATTTCCCTTGGCCAAAGATGCACTAAGTCATTTTTGAGTTCAAAACATTCAGCAAAGGATGGCAAGGCAGAGCCACTGCAAACGACACGTGATTCCCATGACAAATACAGTAATTCTGTGTTAGCTGGTGGAGATGCTTTTTGTGTTGCTGTGTGGACATAAATGGCAACACAAATTGGAGGAGAATGGAAAATGTCCCCTGTTGGCAGTCACCCAAAGGGACTGAGAGGTCAGGAATCATCCCAGCTGTTGTTATACTGAGTTGTTTCAAAGTCAACTCATAATTGATGCCAAATAAAAATACTGTACCCATTAAATTATGGCATTATGAGGAAATAAAGAACATTTGAAACTTAAGAAAGGAAAAGAAAACAGCTATAAGCAAATAGTGATCTCCACCTAATGATATATGTGCTGAAGTGTTTGGGGGAAGTGCATTCAGTTTGCTACTTACTTTGAAATGCATCCAAAAAATAAGCTGGGGGGCCTCCCTGGTGGCATAGGGGTTAAGCCTCAGTACTATCATCTCTACAGCCTAAGTTAGATTTCCAGCCAGGGAGCTGACCCACATATGGCTCAGACTTCTCCTGTCTTGCCCCCTACTCCCCTCAACAGTGTATTTCAGTACATCTGCCTGTTCTGTTCCCCACTCTGTTTCTGGTGAATCCTCTCACCGCCCCCCACCCCCGACACCTTTGGCCTACACCCCAGTTCTTGTATGCATAAATAAAGAAATCTTTTAAAAAAAATAAGCTGGAATGACAAACGGAGGGAGGGATGGCTTAACAGCAATATGTTAATAGGAGACTCTGGATGGCGACTATAAATTTTCTTCAACTCTCTGTATTTCTGAAAAATTTTCCTAGTAAAATGTTGACACAAAAGTGGCAGATGAAATAAATGACGGTTTCCATGGTGTGCACAATCTACATACACATATACATACATATGATAAAATCGTGCGAGGTTCCTGAGAGGAAGGGGTGCTAGTCTATTCTTGCTGTTCGGGAAAGATGTCTGCCCTAGACAGAGAGAGAAGAGAAGAGAAGAGAAAGAAGGGCTTCTTGAAACACACCAGTGTCAGCTACACGCCTTGTGGACAGTTCTGTGTGAGTTCAGTATGCTTTGGGCTGACAGTGTCTCAACGCACGTTCACACCTCAAGCTCTTGTGACTTCCTCACCCAACGCCATGGCCACCTATGCGTCCAGGAGGCAGCCTGCACCCGGCAGGGGTGGAGAACTGCATCCTCCTCTTTCTGGAGGCACTTTGTGTACTTCCCAGGAGACCCATCTTTATAAGGCTTTTGCTTCTTCGACTCTAGTCCCTGCACTCATGGGTTACTTCTCAGCCCATCTGCACCCAAGTCCTTGTTTCTCGTTCTGCTTCCAGAGGGAATCGAGAGGAAGACAATGAGTACCAGGGTTGGTCTAAAGAGCAGATCTTCAGCTTTGTACGCTGGACCTGGCTTTCTCGTATGTCAAATAGCAACAAGAACCCCGCTGTCATTGCTAAGGGGGCGGTGACACCCCAAGGTATGCAGACACAAATACCAGGCACAGGAATGGACAGAAAGACAGGAGCTGGCACCTGCGTAGCTCTATCCCTGGAATGGGGCAGCTAATTGGAAGGATTGCGAAACTGGCTGGCGGTTAACAGATTTGGAAGCTCTGAGAAAATAGGCTGATTGCCAGGTCGGGTCAGCCATCCACTGAGGGCACTCTGTGAACACCACGCCATCGTGACATCACTGCCATGGCAATGTTTAACGAGACCTACATCTTCTGCCAGAAAAGTGAGACTCGGGACACGATCGTGGGGGAATCTGGGGAGTAGGTGCCCAGCGAGGCAGAACATAAGGCCGATAGAGGGCACTTTATGAACATGGTGTTCACTTCCATGACTCCTGAGTCATGCTCTTGGCTGCCTGGAACCTGGACACCAGGAAGTGAGGTGGCCCACAGGAAGTGAGGTGACCTACAGGGAAGTGAGGTGGCCATGCCACGGTTGCCTTGGTATCCTCAGGAAGGTGTGAGGTGGCTCAAATGGTGGGGATGTGAAAATAGAGACCAGACTGTATTTCTGACTGTGCCCCTCATGACAGCCCAGGGGAGACCCTCTGCAGGAAGGAATGCTCTAGGGAGGAGGACCCTGGTATCTTGCAGGCAGCTGATGAGAGGAATGACAGAAGAAGCTGCCATGGCACTGGGCTCACTAGCATTCTGGGGGATGTGGAGACTCTGGCATGACCAGGAGGAACCACATAACCATCCAAGCGGGTGGACATAATTACCACAAGGGCCAACTGGGCCAGAAAGGCAACGCAGGTGTGTTGACCAGTGGCAACCTTAGGTCATGATTCATCAAGCCTAGCATTCCTAGAGGGTTAGATGCTTTGGCAACCAGCGAGGGTGCTGCCTAGAATGTCTGAGAAGAGAAAAAATATCAAGAACTTGTGAGCTAAAGGCTCACTTTTGCAGGTCGGCCAATGCCATGGAAAATTGGTCCCTTCAGTTCCCTGATGCAGACAACTGACTGAATGGAGGGCTGGATGGATCCACTTGAAGAAGGGGCCTGTGAGTCCATACCAAGGACACATAACAAGTATCCCTCCCAATGGGACTTAGGGTACCTGTATCCTAAGGTAAGTGATACCCCCGGACCTGAGGATCACTGCATGTGGTCTAAGCTGATTCTGATACCAGGGTGCCCAAGATGCCATCTCTTTCCCTGGCTGCACTTTGGGCATTGGGAGCACAGTGGGGAGTCCTTCTCACAGAGGGGCCACCAAGTCAGAGGACCCGCCCCAGGGTTACTTCCCCAGTCCTGAGTGCATATTGGGGTGGTTTTACTTAAGACCCAAAGAACCCTCACCATGAGTAACAGCCATTATGTAGGGAAGGACCAAGGGCACTTGGAGAATTGCCTGCTTCCCAACTCCACCCACCCCAGACAAATCTGAAGCAAGATCACAGTTTCTCCTGGATCCCCACAAAGATTTAGAGGACATTCCTATCTCATCCCCATTCAAATCCCTCAAAAAATATGTCATGGTGGATGACGGTGAATTGCATTTTTAGCCAAGCAGTAACCCAACGGGCAGCTGCCAGGTGGATCTAGTGGTGTTACTGGAACAGCATAACACAACCTCTGTCATCTGATATGTGGCTAATGTTCTAATGATGTCAAAGTTATCATGACAAGAATCACAAGCAGTTTGTACAAGCCAGTTCTTTGAATATGTAAGTATTCTTCTCTAAAGAAGAAAAAAGCAGTTTATTTGTAAAAGGGCAGGATAGGCAAGTTCTATTACTCCAGGCCCTGTTAACTGCTCTCTTTCTCCCACAAAAGACCATGGCTGTTTGGACATGCCATTGTTGTTTATATAGCCTGGTCTGATAAATAAACATCACCATGTTATTTGGACCTGGGGAGCAGTGACAAGACTGAATTTGAAGCCTGGAAAAGCAGCATCCAAGTGTCAGCTTCTCTTTGGCAAAGGTCACGGTTGACGTAAAACAGGGAAAATCCACTTTATGACTCCAAGGGGGCCCTTCTCAACATTTAAGGACCCGGGCCTCCCTATGGCGCAGCGGTTGAGCACTGGGTTGCGAAGCTGCCCGCGGCCTCTGCAGCGCCGGTTCGATCCCAGGCTGCTCCCCGGCCACCGGAGGAGGGTCCCGCATGGTGCGCAGACCTCTCCTGGCGCCCGCTGCTCCCCTCAGCAGTGTGCTTCGGTCCTTCTGCCTGCTCTGCTCCCCGCTCTGGCTCTGGTGAATTCTCTCACCCTCCCGCGCTTCTGACTATACCCAGTGCTTGTATAAATAAACAAACAAACAAATAAATAAAATACATGCCTCTTAAAAAAAAACCAAAAACATTTAAGGACCCAAGAAGATCCAACCTAAAGAGCCAGCTTCTCTCTATCTCTGCACTGTGGCACCCCTGATGGGAGTAAGGTAGTCAGGAAATGTGGGGCAGAAGGAGGGGTGGAGACCTTCATAGCTTATTCCCTCAAAATGCAAATGAGATAAAATTTGCCCTATGTGCATATTCCACCCCGTGTGAATTAATTGGCACTGGAACAGAATACTGAAGAGCCATAGTTTTATTTCACACTTGCAAGGGTGTGGTAGCATTGGTATTTACAATACACGAGGTCACAGACAACTTACAAAATAAAAAGCAATTCCAAGCAAGGCAAAACTCACACCTTCCCCAACACACATACCACACCCCCAACCCATACATAATACATCAAACAGTGGGAAAAAAACAGCAGCACACACACAAATAACCCTTGGCCCAAATACAAACACAAACACTGATACTGTCCAATATAACATTTTAAAGTTAATTATTCAGTTCAGATTACTTCAGTGGTAAATAAGCATGTCTCTTTAAAAAAAAAACACATGAAAATAACACTGATATTTATTTCCATCATCAGGTAATGTGAATATACCCTGAAATTTTCTAATCCTCAGGACTAAAAATAATTATCTGCATTATGTGTGCACATTCCTCAATAAAGAAATAAAGAAATAAAAGGAGCTCAGTGATATCACAGGTTAGGGGTCATGCTGAATTTGTGAAGACAGGATGTCTTCAAGTCCCTTGGTACAACTCTGCTAAGCACCTAGTCCATGCATCTCCGTCTCTAGCACGCTACATACCCTTTCAACTCACCCCAGGGACCCAGAGCCTGGAGAATCCTGATTTGAGCTCTTCACCATCACAGTGATAGAGGACCAGACCTCCCAGACCACTAGCACCCTAGGGCTGAGGGAAGGGAGAAGGCAGAGGTGGGAGGGGGCTCACGCACATGGGCGTCCCAGATCACTCAGTTCACAGAACAGAAAGACTAGTTCAGATGAGCATAAAACAAACTTTGAGCATGTCAGAGCCCAGAGCCTTTCAAATATCAAGTGTCATTGAAATAACTTTCCATCAGACAGGCCAGAGAAGTGAAGTAACCACAGAGAATGGCGATGCCCAATATGGAGCTGGAGGAATTTGTGGATGTTGGTGGGATTGTGAAGTGGTCTAACTGCTACGGAAAACAGTATGGCGTTTCCTCAAAAAATTAAAAAATATTACTACTATATGATGCAGCAATCCCACTTCTGGAATATAGATCCAAAAGAATAGAAAGCAGGGTCCCTGGAGGGTTATCCATATGCCCATGTTCACAGTAGCATACTCAGATTAGATAAGCAGTGGAAACAACCCAATGTCCACTGAAGGATGAATGGATAGACAAAATGTGGTACATAGGTGATAGAATAGGATTCAACCTTAAAATACAAGTGTCTTATCACAAGCTACAACCTGGATGGATGCTGAGGACATTAGGCTAAATGAAATAAACCGTCACAAGAAGACAAATGATGTCTTAACACCAGGTCCCTAGTGTAGTCAAATGCATAAAAACAAACCAGGGATTCAAGAGAGGAAGAGTTATTGTTTAGTGAATATAGCTTCAAATTCGCAAGGTAAAAAAGCTTTGGAGATCTGTTTCACAACAACGGGAATATACTTGACAGTGAGGAATGATAAGCTTAAAAACTGTGAATAAATGGGTGCTGTTTTTTTAACTACAAAAAAAGGACAACTGAGATAAGAAAAAACTAAATACTCTTTACACAGGTAACTGCATTTGAATCTTGTGCTCAGATGTAACAGATACAGTTACTTAAGTCTCAGTCAGTGCAAAGAACACTTTACTGAGAGAGAAGACCTGGCTTCTAGAAATCTAACCAGATCTCCTAACTAGGTATTAGATAGCAAAGAATTGCTGTTCATCTCATTGGGTATAATCATAGCAACAGGGATATGATTTTTAAAAGGGGGCTCCAAATAAAGTATGTTGGTGTGAAATTATGGTTTCTAAGATTTTCCTTCATACACTCTCACCAAAAAGAAAAAGAAAAACCACGGGGCAAGGAAGGTGAGAAAGAATAGAACAGTCATAATCGTTGAATGTGGGTGATGAGTACATAGGGAGTTCAATTTGCTGTTCTCTCTGCGTTGTATGCATATTTAAAATTTTTTATCACTAAAAATTCTAACACAAAGTAAGAAAAAAAGAATGAATGGATGTCTGGAATGGATGGCAGCAGAATTAATATATTAAGATTTTTTATAACTACCATTGTCCACATGCTATTGGTCATTTAAAAAAATAGTACATCTCAGTTTAACTTGTTTAACAGATTAAAAAAAAGCTAAAGTGAAACTGAAAGAATTTTCAAGCTTCAAGTAATGTTTCTCATCACTTCTCCCTCCCAGCCATTAGCAAATGAAACAAAGAAGGTAAGTGGGTGAAGAACAGAGAAGGGAGGTGCAAAGATCACCCCAGGGTCCTACCTGTACAGTCACAGTGTAGGACCTTTCACAGTGGGGTGGAAGGTTTCTGCTGGGAAGGTTTTCCAGCAGAAACCTTCCACCCCACCAGTCAAGCAAGGACTTCAGAGCAAAGAGGAAGGCTCACAAGACCACACAATGATCACAATCGAAAGAAAAAGACAGAAGCCAAGCCAAAAAAAAAAAAAAAACAAACAAAAAACCCCCAAAACTAGAACTTGATGAAAGCTAATTGCATCAAGTTCAGGGCACTGATGGAAAAGCTCCAGAATCAAGAAACCAAGGAAATAAATGGTATAGCAGGCAAATCAAATACCACCAGCTACAGCAATGGTTGGAAGACAAACGGCAGCAACTCTTGGCCCAGTCTGGTGTATCCAAACAAAAGAGAACCGAAAAGACGAGAGGAATGATCCAAAAAAATGGGGTCAGCTTGCATGAACGTGTGAGCCTTCCTGAGGCGGGGAGGGGTGGGGGTCTGGGGGGTGCCATGGAGAAGGGAGTCAGGGAACCTGGGAGCTGGGCCACCACCTTGAACTTGGCACATCATCTCCCCTCTAACCCTGCCATCTGCAAGATGTGTTAAAAGAAAGGATCTCCAGGATCCCTTCCTCAGTTCTGAATTAGTTTTCATCCAAACTTGTTCCTGGCTAGAAGGATGATCACACACAAGGCGGGGTGGGGGCGGTGGAAGAAGAAAGCCACTGAAATCTCCAAAGACACAAAAATCTCCAAGCAAAGGTCCTCGGTCAATACCTTGGCTGCCTGGAAACAAGTAAGGTGATCTTGAGATGCCCCGGGATTCCCTTAGACACCAGGGGACCAGGAGGAAAATGAAGGAGCGCCTGCTGGCCAGGCAGAGAGTGCACAGGGAGATGGCAAGACAGGCAGGGCAAAGCCAAGCCCCAGCAGTTGCCGCTCTGACAAGCCCCTGAGTCCCGCACAGGTAGCCGGCCACCCACTCACATTCCCCAGGGTAAGCTGCTCTGTAATCCTGGGTATCTGTGGCTCCTTAGCAAGCTGAGCATGATGTTCAAGCATCACCAACACTGGCTGCCTCGGCGTGACTATGCCATGTGTACCTCACGCACGTCTCAACACCCTGTCCATGAAACAACCTTGAGGTAGATGCAATAATTATCCCCATTATAAGGTGAGTGAAGCTGAAGCTCAGTCAACACTGCCCATGCCACCCGACCAGTGAGAGAGGAGGGTGAGCCTCTCCAGCCTCAGTGGTGTTTTTGTTCCCTGTCTGAGAAAGACTCTCAACCACAAAAGACAATGCTGAGTCCAAACCCTCAGCTTTCTCAGGGAAGCCTTTTCTAAGATGAGTGGTTACTGCTGCCCCAGCAGCAAAGAGGCTCTTGCCTCTGGCAGAAGGGCTCGGCCAACAGCAGAGTCTCTCCAGATACGGTAACCCTGGCCTGTTTCCAGTGGCCAGCAGGGAAGGCCCGATGGTTCTGTGGCCAGAGCACTGTGATGGGGGCAGGCTGCTAGGAGGGAAGTCACTGAGCAGGAAGGAAGACCCAGCATTCCACAGCCAGGAGCCAGTGGGAGAGACGCCTGGGAGGCCCTGCCACTCCCCGCGCCGGCCTCAACTTCCCCACCGGTAGAGCATGAGCCTCCATTTCTCAACAGTCAGACCCAATCCTGGGGGCTTCAGTTTCCTGGCTCTTCTCCAAATGGAAAGACCTCCTTGCTGAAACTAGCAGCCTCCCTTCCAGGCCACGGCCCTAGGAGTTATGGATGAATTACAATCAGACTCAAGCAAATCACCTTTAAAGGGCTTCAGTGTCTAAGCTGGTTCCCTGATTTACATGGTTAACTGTGTTTGAATCCTGCAATCTGGAAAGACCACTTTAATTGGCAAGGAGAAGACAGCTTCTAGCCTGGAATCTCCTGCATCTCTCATCATGTTGTCAGTGGCCTCATCTCTGCCTCAGTTTCCTCATCCTGAAATAGGGAAAAGTAGATTGTCCCTGATTACCTCATGAATATGTTGAAAATGAGACAGAGTAGTGGTGGAGGGAGGGTGGTCAAATACCTTAGGGCTTCCTAGGTGGCTGTACTCTTACCCCTACCACAGGGCTCGTGTTTCTTTCACCCCAAACCCAACCCCAAAGGCCCAGGAGCACAGGCAACTAAATAGCATCATCAAGGTCTGGACCTGGATGAGCCAGGTATCAGCCAATAAAGGTGACTGACAGAACCCAGGGGGTAGAGAAAATATTTTCCAGCCACCAGAGGGGCCTTGTTTTGCCTGTTCTCCCAATTATCCTTCCCCCAAAATCTCCCCCTCCCTTCCCCAAAAAGCTCTGGGTCCATGATTCTGGAAACTGCCCGGGTCCCGAAGACCGTTTAAGAACATTGCGAGTTTCTTCCCTACTGTTTTCTAGAGGTATCCCCGTCAAGCAACCCCATCCTTTGGTTCACCCCTATCAGGCCTGCAGATTAGGATTTAGTCCACATTGTCTGGGAAACAGATGCTATTCTCGTGTGACTTCTGTGGGCTGTAACTGGCCACTACAGAGTAAACTGGTGGAAGCTGCCAGGCAGCCCCATCACTAATCAGTGTTCAAGCCAGGCTTGGGACCAAGCATGTTGCTGGAGGGGTTGTGCAGGAGAAACTGGAAAGGGTGAATGAAGCAGGCAACTTGTTCTGATGGGGGATGGAGATTGAAGCGTGTGGGCAATGAAGAGGTGTCCGGGCCCAGACGGGTTCAGGGAGCCTGCTGCAGGATGAGCTCCGTGATCTCCGCCCTGCTGCCCAGCCTCATGGGTATCCCGTAGTAGGCCGTGCCTGGGCTGACGTACACAAATGTAGTCTGGGCCACTTGGTAGAGACCAGCAAAGAAGGGGTTTAGGAGATAGGCGGCCACGTTCAAGGGGAAGATTTGCCCAGCATGCGTGTGCCCCGAAAGGATCAGGTTAATATCTGGCCGAGCCTGAAGGGCTCTCTTGGCAGCCAGTGGCTGGTGAGCTAGCAAGATGGTGGTGTGGTCTGGGCTGCAGCCCTCCAGGGCCTTCACGAGATCCATGCCGTGGCCAGAGTAGTGCAGGATGTCTGCCTCGATATCGTCTACGCCAGCCAAGCAGATCCACTCATCACCCTCACTCCCACCAGGCTGGGCCCGCGTGGCAGAAATCTTCACGTTCTCATTGTGAAGGGGCCTGACATTCAGGGACTCCAGCAGCGTGAACCAGTTGCTGACGTCGGACGTATAGTACTCATGATTGCCCGTGACGAAGTAGGTGCCCAGGCGTGAGTGAAGCTGGCTCAGAGGAGCAACAGCCGTGCGGAGGAGGGAGGCTTCGGAATCGCAGAGGTCCCCCACGATCACGGTGACATCCGGGTGTAGCATATTCACCATTCTCACGAACATCTCCATCTTGGTCCTGCCCACGGTCGGGCCCAAGTGAATGTCTGAGAGCAGCACGATCTTGAGGTTGTCCATAGAGGGGGGCAGCTGGTGGATGGGCACCTCTACGGTTTTCACAGCGGGAGGCTGGGCAGCGTTCAGAAGCCCGACCACACTGAGCACGGCGGTCACCAACACGGCCAGGGCCGGCCTCAGTGTCAGCTTCCTCGTCTTATCAAGGCTGCCCACGACCTTTCCACTGCGCCAGGCCAAGAGCTGGTAGGCCTGCTCCATGCCGCTGAGCGTGCAGAGGAAGAACAGCATGATGACGTATGCCCCCAGGCAGGAGTAGGCGGCCAAGGAGAAGATATGGGGCTCCTCAGCCACTAAAAAGAGCATGGTGAAGAAACTGGAATGGGCCAGGACCAGAAATGCCACAACTGCCATCTTCCAAAGCCGAAAACAGGCCGACTCTGCAGCTGAGGAGTGGCTGAGGTTGCTGACTGCACTACGCCAGATGTAGAGAGAACCAATGAGCATGACTGAGTTGGCAAATAGGGACAACTGCAGGCGGAACAGCCAACGCCAGGCCCTGAGTTCAATGCTCCCCGCCAGATAGGAGCGGGAGATAATCATGGACACGAAGACAGTGCCAGCAGCCAGGGCGGCCTTCCCGCCTAGCGACAGCTGTCTGAAGATCACCATTCTCTCTGTGCCTAAGAGGGTCCCCTGCTAGTTCTGGGCAAGCAGGCTCTGGAAGGTGAGTTCCTTAGAACAGTGGCCAAGGAGAGGTTTCCAGGTCAGCTCCGCCTGCAACCAGGAACTGGCATCAGCTTTGTGGGATATTAGATCTTCTTTGTCCCCGTTCAAACCTGACAGCTATATACATCTACCCAACCCACTTTGAATGCAAACCACTCAAACACCGGTCAGCTGCTACACTTAATTATTAAAAATGCACACTGCTGGGGCCTCCCCTGGTGGCGCAAGGGTTGAGCGCTGGACTGCGAAGCTGCCCACAGCCTCAGCAGTTCGATCCCTGGCCACTGGCAGGTCCCACATGGCGCGCAGACCTCTCCTGCCGCCCGCTGCTCCCCTCAGCAGTGTACTTCGGTCCTTCTGCCTGCTCTGCTCCCCGCTCTGGCTCTGGTGAATTCTCTCACCCTCCCGCGCTTCTGACTGTACCCAGTGCTTGTATAAATAAATAAATATTTAAAAAAAATGCACACTGCATTGTAACATGATGGGGCGTTTTCATTTTCTTACAGTTTTCTGTATGTTTAAAGTTTTTCCACAAGGTGCATGAACTACTGTTAAAAGGGAAACATCCTAAATCGGTGGTTCTCAAAGTGTGGTCTGGGAGACCCTCTCAGAGGTTCCATTTAGTCAAACATATTTTCAAAATACTAAGCCATGACTGCCTTTTCCATTCCCATTCTCTCATGAGTACACAATACTTTCCAGAGGCTACATGACACGTGATATGGCAAGGCTGAACACAGAGGAGGCTATGAGAATCTGTCATCTACTCAGACAGACATGAAACAGATTTTTGCAAAACTTAATTCCATTTTCACCCTAAAATTTTGGGAGAAACATTGCTATTTTTCAAAAAGTTATTAAGTTTATTAACATATAAGGTATGTATTATTTCCGGGGGAAAAAAAAAAAAAACCCTAACAAATAGTTTTTTCTGTTTTAATGTCCGGGATAGTTCAAGTTTGAGAACCACCATTTGAAATAAATGCAAGCAAGGAAATCAGGGAAAGTGAATCTTTTGGTATTTTCTTATTTTCTTGCGTTTTAGACCCAGGAAGGACACTTAGACACCTAACTGAAGAATTTCTGGGGTGAAGCCAGCTTCCATGTGAGGATATTGGCTTGGCAATGGGAGGCACCTCCCTGCCGATGGTGTTGCACAGCCAATACCAGCACCTCTACCATAAATCCGCTCTCCTCCCACTACCCTCTTAGATACCGGTTAGGATATGCAATCCTCCAACCCACCTTTCTCTGCCACTGTCTCCCTAGAGTGGATTAGTTCCACTGGCCAGGGGCTCTCACAGCTGGCTAGTAGCTCTCCTCCAGACCTCTCAAGACAAAAAAACTGGGGCAGGGATACCACAGACCAGTAGCCAGGGGATAACAAAAGCTCAATTTGCAGTGATCTTTTCCCAGGAAAACCCCCAAATGCAACTATTTTTCAGCAGCTGTTTTCCAAATGCTTAAGAATCTCCACCTAGACTTTGCTCTCTTTTAGTTGACTGATTGAAGGCCTTTTATCAAAGGGTACAATTTACAAGTGAAGGACCCAAACTTCACCACTTCCTACTTAAAAACAAGGCCCTGGCTGCGCAACATAAACTCTGGAGGCACCAAAATGGTTTGCTGACCGTGCAGAGGAACAGGTGCTCTTTTCTACTACTCCTTTCCCGCCCCCCAACTTGGGCGACTCAGCTGCCGGCCTTCCCGGGGTGGGGGCACCCGAGTCTGAGCTTCCTCTCGCGCCAGACCTGCTCGGCCCCATAGCTCACCTAAGGCCCCATAGCTCACCTAAGGGCCCATAGCTCACCTAAGGCCCCATAGCTCACCTAAGGCCCCATAGCTCACCTAAGGCCCCATAGCTCACCTAAGGCCCCATCAGATTCTCCAGCAATGCCAGCGGCCACCTGCAGCTCGCCTCTTGCCCACCCTCGAAACCCGAACCGCCAAACCCTAAAGGTTTGGAAAATCCACGCCAAAAAAACTAAGAGGCGTGGGACGGCGAGTTGGGGACAAGGGGTTTGAAAAGAGAACAGCTCAAAGGAAATTAATCCAGTGTTCCCTTAGGGTTGGAGGTGCTCTCCTGACCCCGGTTTTCTTCTTCCGGAGCGCCCCAAAGAGCACAGAGTGGGCAAGCGAGGGCGCCCCAAGCTGGAGCCCCAGGCGCCCTCCAAGAACGCGCGCTGCTTGGACTCCCCTCCCTGAAAACTGCAAAGCAGGAAGGTTTGGGCGCACCTCGTCTCACCCCGGCGTTGCACCGATGGGGAAGTGGCTCCTCGAGAATGGGGCACCCGGGCGGAGCGCACGAGCCACAGAGCCTCCGGGAGGACGCGCGCCCCGCCCGGCCCGGCCCGGCCCCGCCGGGAAGGCCAGTTCACTGCCTGCCCCGCGCGCTTCGCGGGGTCCCGAGCTCCCTGTCCTGCAGGACCCGGGGTGGTCGCAGCCCCAGATGGATCTCCCGCCAGCTCGTCCCCCATCAGTGAATCCCTGCGCGAGGGTCCTGAGGACTTACACTCAAGTGACAATCAGAGCCCAGTAGCAGCGGCACCAGAAGCAGGGACAGGATGCGCTCGAGCCCCGGCATGTCCACCCTCCAGCCTCTGGACTCCAGAGTCGGCGCCGGGGCCAGCCGCTCCGCGTCACTTGACTGAGGACCCAAGGCCTGGCACCGCCCCCGCCGGCCCTGCAGCCAGCCCCGCGCCGGCTCCGCCCCGCGCTCCGCCCGCCGCAGCGGTGCCCGGGGCGGGGGAGCGGGGGATCCGAGGGCCGGGCCACCCCGCGGCCGCGTGACTGCTGGGCAGTGTCCTCTGACTTTGGCCGGCGTTTGCGCAAGGGAGGGACCCTTAAGATAGCAATCTGGAGGCCCCCCTGTCAGCTGCATGTTAACGCGCCCCAGATAAAGTTGGACTTTAACTGGGGGTGCCCTGCTCCCTGGCAGGGGACAGATGGGGGGAAATTGAGGCCAGCTAAACCTAAATGGACAAGAGAGAATCCTAAACCGTGGTTTCACAATGTGTGGTCTCTGGACCCTACCTGGCAATTGTTAGAAACGCTCCAGGGCCCTGCATCAGAAACTAAGAATGGGGGTTTTGTTAGGGGGAAAGGATGTCCTAAAGCTAATTCCATACAGGCTTTGTGGACTCCACCCCCACCCCAGGCCAAAGCCAAAGACACTGGGAACTCCAAATCCCATCACCACCAAAGGGAAGGTGGCTGGGACCTGAGGGTGGGGTTAAGCAGCCAGGTGGGTATAAAGCCAGACACGTGGGCTTTGGAGGGGTCCCCCATTTTGGCTCTCCGCCAGCTCACAGTGTGCGGCCAGCTCTGAGAGTGACTTTGGGTTTCCAGGTCAGCAGATCGGGTAGGACGCATTAAAGACTTTATTTCCCTATTTTTTCCCTGAGTTGTACATTTTCCTTATTTCCTTTTCCCTTGTAAATAAACCTTTTATTAGTCTTTTGTGTGTGCCTGTAGTGGAGTATTAATAAGTCCCTTGTAAACGCGCTGGTGAGGACCCACAGCCAGGCAACCTGTTCAATATCGGTTCTGCCCTATAACAGCTTGAGGGGGGGTGTTGGCCCAGAAGTCTGTATTTTTTTCTTTTTTTTTTCTTAAAGATTTATTTATGCATACAAGAGCTGGGGTACAGGAGGAGTTGGGGGTGTGTGAGAGGATCCATCAGAGACAGAGTGGGGAACAGAACAAGCAGATTGACTGAAAATACACTGCTGAGGGGAGCAGTGGGCGAGACAGGAAAGGTCTGCCTTGCCATGTGGGTTGCTTCCTGGCCGGCAGGGGATAGAACTCATGCTGCAGAGGCTGTGGATTGCTTCATAGTGTGGTGCTTAACGGCTTGCACCACCAGGGAGGCCCAGAAGTCTGTATTTTTAGACCCTCAAGGTTATCCTGGTGCATGCTAAAGTTTGAGAACTGCCGTTCCAGATCAGTGATAAATTTAGAGTTATGGTTCAGCTGGGGCAAAATCATTCCAGTGCCATCCCTCAAAGTGCCAGAGTTTGCAGAATTTCTGTTTCTATTGGGTTAAGACCAGTAACACCTCTCATGTCTCCATTTTGCCCCTGAACTTTTCAACTTCCCTGTCCGGGGGCATATCTGTCAAATGGGCCTAAAAGAGTGTTGATTCTTTACTTTTGGGGAAAAAAGCTCTCCGGTTAATTGTCCAGCACTGCTGGTTCTCACTAGATCTGGGTTTGAAGTTAAAAATTCTCTCCTGACTGGTTCTGTAACAGGGTGGTCCCCAGGAAAGGGGGAGGTTCCAGGTTCCCTGCCCCACCCAAGGAAGGGTGGAGCTGAGCAGGAAGAGAAGCTGCAGAAGAGACTGAGGAAGGAAGGAGCAGGATGGAGCAAGGAGACCTGGAGGAGGCGCATGGAGCCTAGAGACATGTGAAGAAACTGCGCTTGTCTTTTGGTCGTGGACTGGGTGACACAGATGTGGGTGAGACCCGTGGGGAGGTGACAATGGCAGCTTTTATCTTGATGTTGATTTTGCTCTTTTCCTTCCGGGCTTGTCTGGTAGTTTCTGACCCTTTTCTGTGGGTCCCCACTGGAAGATGCTTTAGACTTGCGGCAGGCTTTGGGGCCTTGTTCTGGGCCAATCCCATATGGATGGACTTTTACCCACGAGGGGACGGGTAACTTTGGGTGCTTCATTTAGAAACTAGACTCTTTGCCTTACCTGTATTGTTTCCTAGTTTTATTAAAGTTCCTTCCCATTAAAGTCTCCTATGTTTTGTGTTGATGCGGCGGATGGCAGAACCCATGTAGAATAGGCAGGTTTGCGGGGTTTGGGCTGCCCCTCTCCCTGCCCTATAACAGTTCCTGACACTGAAAATCTCTTCCTGCCATTGGCAAGCCTCAGCTTTAATGGAACTTGGTTTCAGAGGAAGACACTCTTAGGGAAATCATAAGTAATTTTTTTCCAGCTTTCTTGAGATATAAATAAATACTGTTATAGGACAGGGGGAGGGGCAGCCCAAACCCCACAAACCTGCCTATTCTAAATGGGTTCTGCCATCCGCCGCATCAACACAAAACATAGGAGACTTTAATGGGAAGGAACTTTAATAAAACTAGGAAACAATACAGGTAAGGCAAAGAGTCTAGTTTCTAAATGTAGCACCCAAAGTTACCCGTCCCCTCGTGGGTAAAAGTCCATTCATATGGGATCGGCCCAGAACAAGGCCCCAAAGCCTGCCACAAGTCTAAAGCATCTTTCAGTGGGGGATCCACAGAAAAGGCTCAGAAACAACCAGACAAGCCTGGAAGGAAAAGAGCAAAATCAACATCAAGATAAAGGCTGCCATTGTCACTTCTCCATGGGTCTCACCCACATCTGTGTCACCCAGTCCACGACCAAAAGAAAAGCGCAGTTTCTTCACGTGTCTCTAGGCTCCATGCGCCTCCTCCAGGTCTCCTGGCTCCATCCTGCTTCCTTCCTCAGTCTCTTCTGCAGCTTTTCCTCTCCCTGCTCAGCTCCACCCTCCCTTGGGTGGGGCAGGGAACCTCCCCCTTTCCTGGGGACCACCCTGTTACAATACCACAAAATTCTAGATTAGACTAAACTAGGCCTGTACCTCTGCCTTTTTTGCCTGGCCTGTTCTTGCCTGGCCAGTCTTAGAATTCTATCAGTTTGGGGAGAATTCCCACACCCTTGATATCTGATCATATTCTTCATGCCCCACCTTTGACATCTGAGTCCTCCACCAGCACTTAATAAGAATCCCTTGAATATCCCTTCTTCCAATTTTCCCACCCACACCCCCCTCACTCTGCTGACTGACTAAATCCTTACCATAACAGAACTCATTAAGTCAAGTGTTTGGCTTTGTTTGTTACAATTTTATTTTATTGTACACATTTGCTTAATGGTCATTGAATTTCTAGGCCAGATTCAGCTACCTGAGGAAACTTTATAAATAATTTATATTGTTTAGACCCAAGGAAATGCAATCTGGAACAAATGGGAAATAACAACTTTCTAAAGACGGGCCTAGAAATTCAAATCCAGTAAATGAAGATGTTTCCTTTCTCTGATAGCTGGGCTGAGAAATATCTGGCTGCTAGACCACCATTCACAGACATAGCTAAGATAACAGGGTGCAGACCCAAAACAAGACCAACTAACCCTTCCCTAGTTTTGGTACAGGTTTAAGGATTCAAGTCACCTACATTCACCTGTGCTATTGAACCACAAAGAGCAACATTAATTCCAACACACATTGATCCCTGTTCAAGCAGTTCCCTTTTCGTTTCTGGAAGTTGGCAAGTTTTCTGGTTATAATATTGAAAATTAAGTTTGTCTTGACAGTACTGTTGGTGGGTTTTGGCATTCTTGCATTTTGGGGTTCCTTGGTCTATGGCTATGGCATGAGAAGAATTCACAGCCGTGTCTTTAGCAGAAGCAAAAGATTGTTTACAGACAGAATGAAATTATTCCCAGAAAGAGGTCCGGGTAAACAGAGTCCTGGGAACGACAGTGAGGGAAGCAGGAACTCTTAAATGGGTGCAAGACCTGTTCACTCTGTCCCTACCTGGGGTGCACTGTGCAGGCACTCCTAGGGCTTTGGTATGTTGGTAGCAGTTTCTAAGTCACTGGCCCTTCTATTGTGCTCCTAGGCAGGCTGGAAAGGGGAGAGCATTAGGCCAGAGTTGCCAGGATGTCAATAAGTGCTGTCCTTCCCATAGGAGGAAAGTTGTTTTTTCTCCCAGATACCTGCCAATTTTGAGGGATTCTGACACACACACACACACACACACACAAACACACCCCTTTGGGTGCTGCTTGCTCTCCTTGGCCTTTATGGCCCTGCCTGTTGGTTGGGGCTGGAGAACTGCCTTTCTCTTCTCTGGGCATTAATTGATTTCCCTTGAGCTTTATCAGCTTAAGCAAGTGGGGTCCCCGGTAGAGTTGGTCATTTGATTTTCTTTAGGCTTTGCCCTCCCTACCCTACATGTCTAATTATATCAGCTTCCTGATTTTCCATCTTGATCCTTTATGCTCTCCTCAGTTGGTACCTCTCTGTTAGGTCTAGTGAGACATGGAACTCCATGATAGTGGACATTAACTCAAGCTGAGGTCAATTAAGTCATTTTAAAGTAGAAAGTAGTATTTTCTCCATTGAAGATTCATGGCAAGTTCACCTGTCCACACTCTGCTCTCCTCTCTCCCTATCTGTAAGGAGGAAGCCCATACATACTTACCGCATACATACTTTAGATGCAAAAACTTTTCACCACTGACAAAAACCTTTAGGCCAACAACCCTCTAGGCTAATGATATGGAATCCATCACAAAAAGGTCACATGCATGAGATTATGCGTTTGGAAGATGAGATGATCTAGTGGAAAGAACAGAGAAAGGGTATCTGCCCTTTATGCTGGGTTAAAACTGCTTAAATAGAACCTCCACCTGTTTCTGAAGAAGCAACACCCTGTCCCTGATGCTGATTCCCTTATGCTGAGTCACAGTTGCTCAGTTCTTGCTTGGTACAGTCGCCAGGGATCATGCTCAGCGAAATAAGCCATTCTTTTTATTTCTTAGAGAACTCAAGAACCCAGAATCGGGTGACACCTTCTCTGAGCTTCCTCAGCCATACTCAATTATTTCTTTTGTGTCATTTTCTGTATCTCA